CCCCATGTGCATTCTTGATGTCTGATTGCTTCTCGTCAACGTGAGCCTCTCAGATAATCCGTCCAAAACGAGGACAGTCTCGGAAGTCAGGCGGCCTACGGCCCAGCCCTAAAACCTTAAAACTTGGAAGGGGCATTGAAAGTAAGGAACCCGAAGGCCAACATCAATTAACATCCTAATCCCGAGAAGCCCTAAATGCTGTTGTAAGCCCCTAACCTGGAAAACCTGCAAAAGCTGTCACCCTGGATCCTAAACCCTAAACCCTACAGCCCCTAAACCCTTATAGTACCTTTCTGGAGTATCCTTGTGGTACCCGTTTAGGCTAAAACCCTATGGCACCCTTATAGAACCCTAAACCCTTATATAGTACCTTTCTAGTACCCTTATGGTACCCTTATAGAACCCTAAACCCCACAGCCCCCAAACCCTAAACCCTACAGCCCCCAAACCCTAAACCCTACAGCCCCCAAACCCTAAACCCTACAGCCCGTTTGGTGTGCTGAGACGGACCTGGAAGACTCCTTCGGCCGTCGCCGCTCCTCGCGGCGAACGTCCGGGCTGAGTCGGCTGAGCATCGAGACGCCCCATGAAGGCTATGGGCTTCCTTTAAGGGTTTAGGGTTTAGGGTTCCTTTTCAGGGGGTCTATGGATATTATGGTGGTGCCTGGAGTAGGATTTAGGGAATTTAGGGGGGAAAAATGGCGGCCTTAAGAATCAGAATAGGGTTTAGGGGTATATTCGAGGTAATTATGATCAGGAACCCCAGGGAATAGTATTGGTGCTTATTCAGGCTTCTGCATTATTTCCGGTGAAAGGCACGGCTTGGCTAGTTGGCGGGCTTTATTGTATCACTTCCGTCAAACAGCCGGAAGAGAACTGGCATGTTCCACGGCTTGGGGGAGGATAGTTATGTGCGGTCCTGGAACAGGATGTCGTCTCTGATTCTCATTGTTTGAAGAGCACGGCTCCTCTGGTTTGATTCAGACTGTCCAGAAACTAGAGAACGGACCGAACATCATCTCAGCCATCCATCCCTCCAATCATGCACCCATCTACGCAATCTCTTGTCTATCTTTGAGTACTTCGATAAAATGGCACCTTCTAGAATCCGTACTAAATCCCTCCTATCAACATTTCTTAAACCTTTTTCTATCAGCTTCCCATAAGCCGGTCAAAAAAACTCATCTCTACACACTTCTCCCGAACTTCTGCTGTATTCCAAAAACACTTCTATCCAAAAAAACTTCTATCAGCCGTTCTACAAACCCCTGACCACAATGCTTGAGATTCAGAAGAACGGGCATTATTAAGAGATAAGAGGCGACCTCACAGCAACCGAAAGGCCAACCAACCTCACGAAAGCCAATGCCATGCAACCTCACAACAACCTGCGAGACAAACTCGCATCAACAGCATCACGTCATTCCATCTACGCAGCGTCATTGCATCATGCCATCCAAGCCACCTCCACATGAACGCTTCGCCAAGCTTGCGGGCAAAATCGGTTCATCTCGCCTGTGTCCCTGGTTTGAGCGGGCACCTTAATTAGATGACTCAAGCCCACATCCTGAACCGTAAATCGGCTACACCTCAAACGATAAACCCGAAGGCCCCTTCGAAATTGGCAACCTGGAAGTGGCGAGCTCTTTCGTCTGCAGCCTATGGCTGATCCCTTTGTCATCATTCTTTGGAAGTATGTACATGTATAAGTCACGAAATGCAGCGGAATATGTACATATACGTACACACATACATACATACATACATACATACACATATGTTATAGATATATACATACACATAGACATACACAGACATACCTGCAAGCAGACAGACCTACAGACCTACAGACCTGCCGACCTCCAGACCTACAGACCTACCGACCTACATACAGACATACAGGGGCAGACAGACAGACAGACATGCAGACAGACATGCAGACGGAAAGACAGACAGACAGAGACAGACAGACAAGAGAGACAGACATGCGGACAGAGATGCAGACAGACGGACAGACAGACTTACATTATACATACGCACATACATACATACATCCCTACATACATACATACATACATCCCTACATACATACATACATACATACATACATACATAGATACATACGTACATACATGCATACATGCAGCATAGCTTTCTTCATGTGTATGTACACTGTCAAGTAATTTTTCAGGTGGCGTTCTCGAGCTTCGGGGGGGCTGCTATGAGATGGGCTCCATCCGCTAGTCCCAGTTCTACGTGAGGCTTAGGTTGTAGGGCTTAATGCTTTGGGTTTAGTGTTTTAAGTTTCAATGTAGTCTGCTGGTTGGTGTATCCAGTGTGCCAAGTCATCCTCACAGGATCAGGGGACCCAGAAACTTGACTTAGAGCCAAGTTACCTATAGTTATGTCCGGCTCCCGTGATCCTCAAAGTGGGAAAGCCATGCCTTTCCGAGGACAGCTCTTGGTGCAAATCTGCAATGACCTGAATGTTGGCCACCTGGCGGCAAGGGTTTAAATGTCCAAGCCTGCACACATATTATCTGCTTGGTTTTTGTGAAGACAGCAACATATAGTTGTGCAACCCACGGGTGGGCATGCAGTAGAGGCGGACGTGCCGTCAACCGTAACGGGATGTCGAGGCAGACGTGTCCTTCATGCCGCATCTTGTCTGGGGACGTCTCGAAAGGTTTGGGCATCGTCTCCTCACAGCCTCGACTGAGGCGCCCCGGTTCCAGAGTCGACCAGGTCGGAGGCTTCTTTACCGGCGTCCACCGAAAGCTTAGGCTGGCGGGGGGCGCTGGGGTGGAGGGGAGTGAGGGCGTGGGGGTTCAGAGTTTGCCTGATTAAGGGTTTGGGGTTTCTGGCTTGGCGTGAAGTGTAAAGCGTTGACATGGGTTGAGGGTTCATAGCCTGTGTCAAGTAGAGACCTTTTCCTTGATGCGTCCTCTAGCTTTCCGGCCAGCGTAAGACGTCTTTTTGAATGCCGCTGCCAGACTCCTTTCAGAGATGTGCCGCAGAGACGATCGCTTTCTGTTTTCCAGCCAAATCAGCCGAGTAGGAATCCGGCGTCATGGCAAACCACTCCCAAGCAAGCCGACTTCCCTCTTGCACTTCCGGCCCTGGCTTCAGCCCTCGAAGCGTTTAGGGCTTAGGCGTTAGGCCTGAAACCTGATACCCTACACGGCCCCAAACCCCCAAACATCCGCAAGCGCACCGCAGGAGCCGAATCCCAAGCTTCCGGCAAGAAGGAGGCCTTGGACCGGAAAGGGCTCTCTGAGAAACACGCGCACAATGAATAACCTTTTGGAAGTCCGTCGAAAACTTGACGATCTTGACGAGTGAGATCTCAAGACATCAAAATGAAAGCCAGTCTGAAAGGACATGAACAACTTATACAGGTCTTCGAAGGCTTACCATAATGCGAAAGCAGCCAAAAAGGACCAAGTGAAGGCTCCACACTCCCAGCGCTCCCTTACTGCATGCTGTTTATGGCACCAGCCCACAACTTACATTACATTTCAATACCAATGAACAATTATATATTCTTATCAATGATATTTATATACAATCTTCATCTATTTTGGATTATTAAAGGAGGTTCCCAACGAGGGGGCTCCCGAGTTGGAGACCCCGGATTCTTTAGTCGTCGGAGTTCTGAAAAGCATGTGGGACCTGTTTGCCAAGAGGACGAAGCCTCCCCCAAAGCATGGCAAGTGAGAACTCCTGAACCCTAAAGCCGCGAAGGCACTGTCTTAATTTTTGAGAAGATTTTCAGAGAACAAGAAAGTAGAAACACCTGTGCATTAAGTTGGGTTGCATATTATAGGTGTAACATGCATCTTTTGATGATCCAGCAGGCACGTGACACGATATGCTGAAACAGTCATTCATCCGAGGCACTGGAAAACACGGAGTTGTACAGTTTTCTTGCCCGCGCAGTTTATGAACATGACACATTTTTCCCTATTAGCTTCGAAAGAACAGGGCTGGTACGTCTGACTGCCATCAAGCCGACAACTGCATCGGAAGACTCGCCGAACTTGATAAAAGCTTGTTGTGAGCACTGGCGATGTTCAGCAGGGCTACGCTGCGCTGGGTTCTGCTGAGCTGTTTGAGGCCGGCTGTTTTTTTGCCGCACTTCCAGGTTTGCTTTCATGTCTTGGGCTCCTGAAATCGTTTGGAAGAGTTCATAGTCCAACCGTGTGAGTCGGAAGGAGCTGTCAAGGCGATCCCCGAACCGAGAATCTGCCAGTGCGTATTTTTCTGACGTGCAAGTCGGGACACCCGTTGTCCTGAACAGGTTCAGCGGATTCTCACTGCGCGGGCCTCTGGCGGTGACTTGGCTAAAACCAGGCTTGAAACACGAAGGTTTTGGGAGTATCTCCGCCGGGAGGGCAGCATACATGTATCGGCTCGGCTTTGCTTTAACCTCCACCTGTATCCAAAAGGACCCTAAACCCTAAAGCCTCGTCGGCCACGTGAATGTCGGTTTTAAGACGGTCTGCCGCGTCGTTCAACCCTAACAGCAGTCAACGTACTCTGCAATCCAAGAAAACACTGAGATGGGGCTGCAGCTGCTTAGATCACCAGCGTCAGCGCTGTAAATCCATAAACCTTCGATGCAGCACTGCAAAGTAGGAATTGTTGCCACCCGCCACAGTCTGAATTGCACACCACTTAGACCCAATCAAGACCAGACATTGCTCAGGCTACACGCAGCAACAAGCAAGTCGACTGGCTCAGTACTTCAAGACGATGCACTTCTTCCGGAGGCAGGGAGTAGGGCAGGTTCCCATACAGTAGCTTAGAGCTGAAAGCAAATCCCAGTTCTGCTCAGGATTTGAGAGCGGATGCCCATTGTGCCCGAAGCTCCATAGTAGAAATCCCCCAAGTCCTTCACACGAACACCCTGTCACGTAAAGCGCTCAATGAATAGCGAAACCCGAGCTTTCAAAGGTACGCACTCGTCCGTCTTCGCTTGCCTTGTTCGCCTTGGGGAGGCTCTCGTCAGATCAGCTCCTGGAGCTTCTGAAGCACGCGGAATTCCTGGATGTGGAGCTCGGGGAAGCTCACCGAAAAAAGATGATGAAGATGATGAAGACGATGATGATGATTATGATGATGATGATCATGATGATGACTACTAGTATTATGATGATTATTCTGGTTATTAGTACTAGTATGATTATTATTGCTTGTATTATTACCAATATGATTCTGGACAGCTGAGCGTCTTCTGTGCAGTGCGACACGAGGGCTCTGTCCTGAGAAGATGGTGAAGCCCAAGCCCGCGTCGGTCCCGTCTTCCGCCGTGGTCCCTGAATTGAGGATCACCTTTCGTGACTGTCATCGCAGTTCTTAAGCCCTTAAATTCTTAAACCCTACAACCGTAAGCCCGAACACCTTATATCTAAACCCCCCCTACAACCAACCCTGAAAGCGATCATGCAAACATCCTGAACCTGCCGTAGCGTCCCCAGCACAACTGCTTTCGGCTTAGGAAATGATCTACAAAGATGGCGACCCAATCGGCCATGTGCGTCTGGGCTCCATTTGATATGCTGGGCTGTAAGTGAGGCTATAGCCGGCCGGAACAACGTGAGGCTTCGTCCTGTGCACTTACTGCAGGTGCTCCCAAATGCCCTGTCCCCTACATCCTAATATAAAGGCCCAAATAATTACCTATATATATATATATATATATATATATATATTTTTTTTTTTTTTTTTTTTTTTTGGGGGGGGGCGGGGGGTTGTGGGGTTCCATTTTAGAAACAATAGTAAAATCGGCCCCAACACCCAGCACTCTGGGGCCGGGTCTCAAGCATGGTCCGGTTTGCATTGCATCTCGCCTTCGAATTCTTATGCTTTGGGGCCTTTGGGGTTTATGGTTTTTGCGGGGTTATTGTCGGAGTTCTATTGAAAGGGGTTTTGCTGTATGCTTTAGGGTTCAGCACCTGACCGTCTACGGTTCCGGGTTTGGATTCAGGGTTTAGGTATGCATAATTACCCTGTCGAACTAAGAAGGTACGTGGTTGTCAATGGCTCCGTCACCATCGAGCGGGCATTGGAGGGTACAGGCTGGCGATATGCGGCTAGAGATTTCGAGATTTTGCCTTTAATTAATGCAACTCTGTAGGATGGCAACAGCATGCAACGGTTTAGACATGGTGTAATTTGGTACCGAGACTTCATAGCATCTTCATAGCCATCAGGAGCTTTCCGATGATCTCTGCCCTGAGATAACCCTAAACGCCTAAGCCACAAATCTGCGCCCTAAGATGGCGTCCGCGTCTTCGCCACCAGCGTCTTTGACGGTCGCGCCTTCGGCGACGGCTGGGACGGCGGCCGGAATCGGATCATTGCCTGCAGTTCGTCCCCCTAAAAGAAACCTGAAAAAGGAACCCTTAATATCCCTGAATTAAGGAATGTGGGCTTTACGGGATTTTTTGGGGGTTCCTTTAAGGGATCTATGGTTTGGGTACCTATGCGGTTTAGTATAAGGGTGGCTCTTCAGAGAACTGCTGTGCGGATCTGAGGCCACCTTAGAAGGATCCCTCAGCTACCGATACCCAGAGACTCCAATATCCCTTAATCAAGGAGTATACCTTAGATTATAGCAGGGATCCCTAAACCCTATAGATCCTTATAGATCCCTGAAAGGAACCACGCAGAATCCCTTAAAGGGGCCCATATTCCCTAATTCAGGGAAATTAGACTCTCCCAAATCCTAAACCGCATAGATCCCTTATAGATCCTTTAAAGGAAACCTATAGATCCCTTGTAGATCCTTTAAAGGAGCCCTATAGATCCCGTATAGATCCCTTAAAGGGAGCTACTGATGGATGCTCGCAGCAGCGCTCTCCATCTCAGGGCCTCGAGCAACGTGCGCTGGACCACGGCCGTGGCACAGGACGTTTTGGGGAACTCCCCTGTAAGGCTCCCTGATATTTTGGGATCCTTGTAATAAGGACCCTACTATTTAGGGTATTATACTAGGGTCCCCTATTTTCGGGAAGATCTGCGGGGTTTCCGAAAAGTAGGGGTGCCTTATTTTGGGGATCCTACTCTTTAGGGTACTATTTTGGGAAGATCTGGGGGTTTCCGAGACTTAGGGGTACTATATTTAGGGTCTGAGGTTTCCTTAAAGGGGGCTCTATAAGGGTTTACAGGGTTTGCGACAATTAGGGGTACCTGATTTTTCAGTAAGGATCCTACTATTTAGGGTATATACCTTTTTGGGGGTCTCAGAGTTCGGGCGAGGATGAGCTTCTGATCGGGTTCCCTTGTGTCCTGTCTGGTGGGCGTGATATGCTGTGTTTGAAAACATGCACCAAAAGGAGCTGGAAAACCGTATATAGACGGTCTAGCAGGGGCTGAAATCGTCACATGAGAAAGTCTACTTAATCTGGCAGCATCGAATCCTCAGCGACACATCCAGTCACCAGAGGACGAGGCCCGCATCGACTTGCAAGTGAAGCATAAAGTGGGGTGACATGGCAGGGCAACTTGAGAAGCTGTGCACTCCACCCAAACATCCTTCAGGGACGGGGATTGCGCAATGGGGTTCTTAACTCGAACCCTAGGCCCCCCCAAGCTAAGGTTACCTGAAAATGTCTGGGCCCTAGCTTGCTGCACCTGCAGCCCGGCAGGAGAGATCCCTCCTGCTGCGCTTCAGCACACCAGTCTACATGGAAGTCCTTCAGAAGGCCTTTGGCTTTGTGCCTAAACTCTCTAGACTCTGGCGCCCTAAAGATCTGAGCCCTGAGGGCTTGTGATTTGTATTGGTTTTGTGTTGCACCAGAAAATATTGCAGAACACCTCGATGGACAGCTAGGGCGCAGAGCCCAGTATGTCTACCTTCAAACTAAACCCTGCTCAGCCCCAGGACGACGTGTGCTCCGAGAACGCATCGCGACTGAAATCCTTGCCCTTTCTCTCCGAATGCAGCAACCTGGCTCGATGATGACTGTGACGAGTCCCAGGTTCTCGGCCCATGAACTGAACAACTAGCCTCACGGGTGTAGGGCTCAGAGGGTTTAGAGCCCCTGAATACCTGCACCGTATGGCCTAGATGGAGCAGGAGGATATCCCTGCATCGCTGCTTCAGGCGCCGGCGAGTTGGAGATGTTGCTCATGACCCTGGAGACCGGCTCTCTTGCTCGAATACATGCATACATCGGTAGATGTTATAGACAAATAAGCAAGCTGACGTAAACGAAGATGTACAGCAAGATGCAGGGATATGACGTGTATACCTGCATTTAAGACACCTCTTGGTACATTTAGCAATGATAAGCATCCTGCTCTGGCAGAGTAGCACGACATCCGTAGCATCAAGTTGCTTCCGTTTTGCCAGTGTCAATTTGTCTCTGCCTTGTGTCGCCTTGCCCCTGCATCGGCTCAGATCCTGACATCAACTGTGAGCTTCTGATGAGATTCATAAAGCTCGGCCCCCCCAGCCCAAGATCGAAGAAGCGAAAGTATCTCGGTGCCGAGCCACCACTCTCCTGGCAAAACCCCGAAAGCTCTAACTCAATCCCGAAGCAGCAGAGTGGCTAGAGGCTGGAGGCGCTGTCCCAGCAGCTCACCCTCATCCGCCCATGAGATTCGGATGGCCCCCCCCCCCCCCAAGGGCCCCCGCCGGCCCCCCCCCCCCAACCCGAACCCTTTGTTTTAGGCTTCGCGGGCTATGCCTTCACAGTGCTCCGGCCTGGAGAGCGGCCCAACCGCTGCCGCATCCTCGCAGAAGGCCGCCGGTTTCAGCTTCTGTGAGGTTGAAAAAGAGGGAACGGAAGATTCTAGGTGTGTTCGAGAAGGGTCTCAGTTTCCAGGAGGGTCGTAAAAAGGGTTCTATAGGGATACTAGGTGTTGTAAAGGCTTTAGACGGCCGGCTTGCCTGAGTTTCGCCTTGTCTCTCAGGACGGCTTAGCCTCCTTACGGATGCCAAGCTGGAGGTGAAGGAGCTGGTCCCAGGCCCGAGCAGAAGGGCTTGAAATAAGCCAGGGCTTCGGCTTTTTTGTGGGTTTTTGAACGGGTTTTTTACGGTTTTGTTCGGCTCTCCTCCTTGTCCTCTCCTCTGCTGCCTGGAGGTTCCTTCTTCGGTGTCGGGGCAATCCTGTCTGGGCGCGGAAGCTCCTTGGCCAAAGAGCAAAGACCACTCTGCCTGTGAGGGTTTCATTCTACAGGGGTTTTTGGTTGGGGTGTCTGTAAGGGTTCCAGAAAGGGGTGTCTACAAGGGTTTCTATAAGGGTTGAATAGGGGTTCTAAGAAATGATAAGCGGCTTCATTGACAAGGGGTGTTCTCCAATAGATCCTTCTGCTTGCATGATGCAGTGGAGAAGTTTGATGCAGCATCTGTAGTGTCTCTACCTTGCTAGACTACACTCGAGCCTGTACCATACCATAATGCTAACACTCCATGAGATACTTACCAATCCTGGTCGCTTCTTCAAGAGGGGTGTCTGCCTCATGCTGAGAGCCAGCCGCCAACCACAAAACTCTAAAGCATGACATCCTAAAGGAAGCCTCAGAGCGCTCGTCAAATTACCTGAAAGCCCCAACACCCCGAAACCCCAAACCCATCGGAACCCTAAACCCAAACCCTCAGACCCTTTAACCCTTATAATACCTTTATAGTACCCTTATGGTACCCTTATAGAACCCTAAACCCGACAGCCCATGCTGCCTGGCAGCTTAGAATTGCCTGCAAGGCTGCAGCTACGCCTCGGAGGTGGAAGTGACAGCGCTTCGGCTGGGCTGTGAAGAAGAAATCGAAACTTAGGGGTACCTGAGGGTTCCTTTTAAGGGTGACTATAAGGGTTCCTTTAAAGGGCTCTATATGGGTTTATAGTGCTTCCGAAAAGTAGGGGGTACCTCATTTTGGGGCCTCATAATAACCTACTATTTAGGGTACCATCTTTTCTGGAAGCTCCGATATGAGTCACAGTCAAGATGACTGTCTGCAGGGATTTAGAGCGATGCATGTGGAGGTTTCTGTGCATCTTTCCTGCCTCATATGTGGGTTTGCTGATTCCCAGGCGAATTCGGTTATCTGCAAAGGGCTTTTGGCCAAGGTGACATCTATGGTGGCCCACTTCTACCTGATGTCCAGGCCGAAAGCAGCACGTTGAAGTGCAGCGTGTTTGAGGGCCGCGACTTCTTGATCGTTTTGCATTACTATATCTAGCGGAACACAGTAATGACAGGAAATAACAAGCTATGCGATGTGTTGGGCTCCGGCTTCTTGACGCCTCGCCGCTCAGCGTTCCAGCCAGGAAGTCGCTGTCTCCGCTGCCAGACGTTGTCCAGGAGCTGCCTTGCTGCCTTATCATCGCATGTTGCATGATACGGGGAAGACAGCCGTGAGAGAAGAGATGTTTCCTTACCTGAAAGCGGATGCCGGGATGCAGACACAAGAGAGAATTTGAGTAAATCGCAGCTCACAGGAAAGTGGCATGTCCGCATCTCGCACATGATTCCAGCTTTACAGACCATGGCACGGTGCTTTGTGGGATCTTGTCAAAAAGCAGACAAGCTCCGGACGCCTTCGCAGCAGGAAAGCATTCTTGACAGCGTGCGCCGGATGATTGCCGATTGCCAGGCTGGTGGGTTCACAAGACTTTCACAAGCCTTTTCTGGGGAAGTCCAGGAGCTAGCCAAGGCAGTATGCCAAGAATATGGCTACAATTTGGCAACAGCAAACGTGAAAAAATACTGGCTCACCATAATAAAATGATGACCGTATTACTGCTGGACTAGTTTCGTTCGACATTGGAAGAGAAGACTAAGCAGTCGGCCGTCAGATTTCCCCTTACCCTTCTCGTTTCTCATCAAGAGACATAGCTTAAGCACTCTCCTCTCCGGGGCATTTCGTGGCCTTGTCCTCTTGACGCGAAGCTTACATCTTAGCCAAGCATCCTAAACAAGCTTGGAAACCCTAGACCCAAAACCCCGAAACCCTACAACCCCAAAGCCCAAAGACCCCAAACATCCCTAAACCCGCCAATACCCTCAAAAATCCTAGAACTCAACTCCACAGAGTTTTCGGAGGACCCGATTCAGGATGATGGGCGCCATGCCAGGGCCTCGTTTTTTGAGCCCGGCATAACCAGGGTTGGGTTTTCTGAAAGCCAGGTATGTTCCGTAGGTTTCTTGTGAGGTCTTCCATGTGCTATACCGCTTTTTCGTGGTTCTGCATGGATGTTAAAGGGTTTCACAGGGTTGGGTCTTACTTACAAGCAAGGGGGCACCTGATTTCTTGAAACTCACCTGAGAAGCCAAGGGGGCACAGCCGACGCGCCCTTGAACTCGTAAGCCCTAAACCGCAAACGCCCCTAAACCGTCAAACCTGCCAAGCTCAACCCCTCGAAAAGCCCTCCTGCGATTTCTTACTATAGAAAATTGTCCTTATTAACATTAAGATTATATACTACATTTGTTGTTTGCCGGATTCCTGAGGTCATCCGCCGAGACCAAGAGTGGCGGCTTCGGAAGCAGCGGAGCCTGGCCGAGGCCAGCGGAAGGGTGTTTAGGCTTAGGTTAAAAGCCCAGAGACCTGAACCCTAAACTCTAAATCTAGATGTATCTACAAGAGCGATAACAAGAGTAGTGGCAGTAGCAGCAAAAGAAGTAGCAATGCTTATAGCAGTTGTGATAATGATAGCAATGACAGTGTGAAGGATATGATAAGACTAACAGCAACAAAAAAGACGAGCGAACTATGCCGGTCATGGTGATCATAGTAAATCTGTTGCCGAATGTCCTTGGCCCAGGTCAAGCGGACTTCCGATCGAAGCGCAGCGAGCGCTGGGGAGATGCGTCCGCGATCAGCCGTGGCCGGGGGCCCTAGGCGCGTGGTTCTTAGGTTCATTTTCAGCATTATATATATGTATATATATATATACACACATATATGTACTATATACATTGTCATGGTTCTTCTTCGCATTACGAACATTATCAGGAATATCAACGATGACTATCATTGGCCACATTAAACTGTTGATGGTGATGACCGTGGTCATGGCTGTTCGTTTTACATACTATTATTGCTGCTGTTCTTAAGCTTATCATTATGGTTATGACCATGATGCGTAGTGTGAGTCCCATGACTAACTAATGTCGGTACTGTCATTAGATTATTTCGACCCATCCGTCAGAATCCATGAGCCTCCGGCTCGATTCTTCGACGCAGGGTTGCCATCCTTAAGGGGTCCTGGAGGGGTTTCTACATGGGCTTGCCTTACCTTTGGTTACAAGTAGTAGGGAATGGACGAACGGGGTACAGGTATAACTAGTATTACTTCTCCCATTCCCTACGAACCAAATGTAAGTTGCTAGAACAGGTCCTCTCGCGGTTGCTATAAGATTTGCTTTTCAGGGTTCCGGAAAAGTCGAATCACCGGGGTCCTGAGATTCAGGATCCAATCGAGTCGGGGAGGATAGCCTTCAAGGTTCCGGGGCTTTCAGATTTAGGAGTCCAGGGTTTGGGGTGAGGGATGGGGGGTGCATCGGAGACCCAGGAGGATCATCATGCCGTGAGGGTTTGGCTACGGTTTCGACCTCTATGACTAGTCTTACCATGACTACCATAGTCTTATTGTGAGTACCAGGATAAACCCTAAACCTTAAACCCGAAACCATCAATAAGCTAATGCTTTGCGGTCTCAGTGTCCGTCTCGGGGAGCCAAGGCTGGAAGATGGTGCCCAGCCGGACCCGGTAGGCCCGGGTGCAAAGAGGGTGTTGAGGGTTTGGGATAGCAAAGCAGAGTAGAGTATAGTAGAGTATGGCATACGGCATAATGTAGGGTGCCTTGAGTGTGAGGCTGAGAGGGGGATTTCAGGAGCATGTTGAGTTGCAGGATGTGTGCGGAGGTGCTGATGAGAAGGGGTCTTGGAATCTGTTTACATCCTCTTGTTGGCGCCATCGTGGCCTATGCTTCACCTCCCTTCATGCGGCTCAGCCACAGACCCCACGAGGCCATTCCAGCATTCTCTCCATGTCTTCCTGGCCACTGAAGCCATTGACATTCCCCTAAACCCTACGCCTCGAGCTCTGAACCCTAAAGCCCAAACCCCAGACTCCAACGAGGCCCTTTGCGGAGAGCCTCGAAAGCCCTTCTACACCCTCTGCGCCCCGGCGCCGAGGCGGGGTTGGTTGCTGTTGTTGTTCAGCTCTTGATAAGGGTTTAAAAGGCGCTTTATACTGTGTTTTATGTGTGTTCTACCAGGTTTTCTAAGGGTGGTATTGGGCTTCGAAGTTTCAGAGCACTATAGGGGTCAAGGGATGGGTAACTTCGTGCAAAAATCAAGTTACCTATAGTTGCATCTACTTGTAAGCCGGATTCAGATGCCTCCCATTTCAGCCCCGGGAGTCTACGACGCCCTTACTCCAAAATTGAAACTCCAAGAGAGTAGTTATAGTTGTAGTTATACTATAGGAATGCATAGGAAGCAGCAAGAAAACCCTTTCACTTCGTGCAGTTTCCAGGTCGCGCCGGCAGCTCCGGTCGCTCTGAGCTCCAGAGGTCTAAGTCCGGGCCAGGCCTGGGGGAAACCCTGGGAGGGGTCTCGGTCTGAGGGCGTCGAGTTCTGAACAGCTTCCTTTAGGCCTCGGCGCCCTTCGGGGTTTTCTCTAGGCGTCCCGTTTGCTTGAAAGTTTGGATACACGGTTTTTGGAGCCCCTTCAGGCCCTTCAAGCGAACTTGTAAGGGACACTGAAGGAAGCCCTGAAGCCCTAAATAGTAGGATCCTGATTATAAGGACCCCAAGATAAGGTGCCCCTATTTCCGAAGCCTCGAGAGTCCCTGGACCCTTTGGCCATGCCAGCTTCCGCCCCAGTCTTGGGAACATCCGATCAAAACACCAAACTATGTAAGACGAGTAAAAAAAAGCAAGGACGCCTGCAGGAGGCGTTGAGGTTGGGGTATTTCGGTTTCGGAGATCAAAGTTTAGGAGTTCGGGGAAGGTTGAAAAATCCCAGAGGCTCCTACGTCCTACAGGTGCCGTACTTGAGGCTTCCATTTTCTGTTTAGCTTTTTGTGCATGTGATATGGGGTCGTTCACGTTGCGCAAGGAGTGCCAGGAGTTCTTAGATGCAACTTCGGAGCTCCAAAGCACAAGCTAAGCACAGCCATAAGACCCAAAAGGATTCTAGAACCTAGACTTAGACTGTAATCGTCGCCTTTGTTGCCATCGTGATGGTGCTTGCCTGCTTTTGGATGTGAGAATGGTTTTGGTAGCAGTATTGGAATGATGGGGATGCACAATTTTAGGGGTTGGAGTTGCGCTCACCAACATCACAGTATACTGTCTCTAGAAAAAAATTCTCATATATATATATATATAGATAGAGCCCAAAACTTCATTCTAATGTTCAGACCCCTACATTATGCTCTTCGGTGGTTCGTTCGCATTGTCCCGGATGTTGGGGCAATGTAGCAGCTACCAAGGCAAGGCATTCTACAGGCCAGAAGTCTACATCACCTCAGAAGGGACAACGCATCTTTAAGTGCAGCTTCCCCTATGTGTGTGAATAAATAAATACATATATATATATATACACACACATAATATCTAAGTGCATATGTGTGTATGTGTGTACGTGCACATACATCAGTATCTGTATATATATATATATATATGTGTGTGTGTCAAGAATAACTAGATGCACACATTTTACGTACATGTAGGCATGCACATATCTACATACATACATACATACATACATACATACATATATATATATATATGTACATGTGTCTACATGTATGAAACTAGAGTTGCAGCGGCCGCAGAGTTCTATCCGGAATGGCAGGGACGAATGGAAACACTGCATCAGGTGCAGAGCACTTGCAACCGTGCCGTCTTAAACTTAAACCCTAAACTCGAAGACCATGCAGCATCTAAAACCCGCTGACCCTGCACCCCTCTTCAGTTCCGTCACTTCCTGCCAGGACGTCTCAAATCGAGCGAACGTCTCAGCATGACGGCTTCGGGGCCACTCACGCCGTGCGGCCCTCTGTAGAGTTCTTGAAAAGCGCAAGTGTCAAGCCATAAGCTCTACAATCTCACAGCCTTCAAACCCTCAAGCCGAAAAGCATAAACCCTAAAGCCTAAACCCCTAAACCCTGAAGCCATCGCAACCGAAAGCTGTAGTGAAGAAGTCAAGACTGCAGGAGACAGCAGGTCGGGAAACACAAGCGCCAAGAGGTAAAGGAACGGTGCAATTTGCGGGTAGGAACCTCGACACATATAAAAGGCCGAATGAGTTTTACCAACTTGAAGGATAAAGGGCCGTTTATGGGTGTTTGAGATGGAGCGATTAGCAGCGTAGTGGCTCTAAGTCGACTCTAAGTACTCACCACCGATCCAACAGTACTGGCCAAGCACTGGCCAAAGTCCCTCGTCAAAGTCCTCGCTGAGCCGCATTGCAGATTGTGTGTTATCATCTCACAGGATTGCAAGAAGCCTTCATGCTACTGTCCCTGATACCGGTTTAATGTGCTCTCTGCTTGTTTTTCTTCAGCGCTGGTTTCAGGTCTTCACTGGCAAGGACTCAAACGCCGATGATGCGAAGCACCACTCCTTCGCCCCTTAGCTCTAAGCAGCGGAAGGCTACCTTGCGAAGGTTTTAGGACTTCTTGCAGTTCAGGGTTCCTGGATTTAAGGTCTTCTTGGGGTTTTAGGGTTTGGACGTGGTGGCGCATGAAAGCTCGGGCTCAGTGTGTTTCAGGACCAGCCAAAACATAGACATATGGTGCGGATGGTTAGAGTTTGCATCAGGTCTTTCATGCGTGCGACGACACCCTCTATGCTGTCAAGGACGATGGAGCCACGGCCGCAACTGAGTTTTCTGAGTCTCCGAATCCCCGAAGCGGCCGATGTGCCGCGAGTTAAAGGTAAATATCAGCGAACATGAGACGCTGAATCTACTTGAACCATACACTCCCCAACCTGAAACACCCTGAGATCTGCAGCCGCCCTAGACCATAGTTCTTGCGCGCTTCGAATGAAACCCGCTTACACTGTCTCTGCATGGAGCGAGCAGCCTGCGTCGGGTAATCAGCCGAACGTCAGTCCGTGAACAACAGCGCAGAGAATGAGAAGTATCTGGGCATTTTACGGATAGCCTAACCAGATGTAACAGCAGGGAGGCCGCTTAGTTAAGCAACCCTCAATCGTACACCTTACAGCCAAAAGGTTAATTTCTGCACCATCCCAGTATTCCCCCGACGGCCGTCCCCTGGCCATCTTCTGCCGCACGCCGGAGGCCGCAGATGCACAGGTTTTGATTTAAAGGATCAGATGTTTAGGTTTGGGGTCGGGTCACAGTAATTGGAAGCCAACTGTGACAGTAGATATGACTACTTAACTTGCAACCCGACTTCAACTTCTCATAGCCCTGCTTATTGACCTCCATCTAGGAACCTGCCAGAATACAAGCATGAGATGCAAGGACTTCTTGCAGGATAGTCCTGCATATTGGAGAGTCGAGACGGTCTTATCCTGAGCCCTTTCTCGACCCTTTGTGCCGGTGTCGGGTGATTTCTTGCTTTTGCCACGACCGAGTCGCATCGCTTCCGGCACGTTGAAGCTCTCTTGAACCTTGGAGAAGAAACGACTTCAGATCTTGACATTCCGGCCCCGTCAACCCCGAACCTCGCGAACACCAACACCACTGTTGCTTCTTGTTGCTACTACGACTGCTATGACTACCGTTGGCATGTTTCACCCCAACACAGCTGGAGGGGCCGACCTTTCCAGTCGTCAGGGCTTCGAGCTGCTCCCGAACCCTGCGCCACTGAATTGTGTGGACCGCCGCCACCGCCCGGATCGGGCCATGGACCCAAACATGCTCAGGTGTTCTAGCAGGGTCGTATGATGCCTATGGCCTATGAACGGCATCTCGAAGGGTTGCAGAGGGGTTGTTCCTGCGTTGCGGCATGCGTCCCCTACAGATGGAGGTTGGGGTGTGTTTCTTCTCATTTAGATGGTTTACGGCTTAAGGTTTTAGGGTCAACATACAGGGCCTGGGTGTTCGGGCGTGGAAGAGTGTTTGCTGACTACAGGAGCGCTAATCGACAGCCTCTTCATGCAGAATCCGTGTAAATAATGAAGGTACGCCTTATTCCGACTCCGACTCAGTCACATCGTTACATCTCTGCAGTTTTGCTTGTTGCTTTTGGCAGGCGCTTGTGCCTTGCCTGCCTGCCTGCATGCAAGCATGAGCATACACACAAAGGCACACGAGCATACACGAAGATAGGTAGATACATGCCTACATACATACATGACTACGTACATACATACATATATACGTACCTACCTGCGTACGTACATACATACATACACACATAGTATATCCATAAACACATACATATGCCCCATACATACACATATACAATCCACCTACACATACCCACACATGTACTGGTACACATACACGTACACGTACTCACATACATATACACACACGTACTCACATACATACATACATACACACATACATGCATACATACTTCACACACATCATACGTACAAGCCGACAGACGGAAAGGCAGAAAGACAGACAGACAGATATGTATATACATGCATTATAGTTGGATATAATAGACAGATATACAGACAGATACATACATACCTGCCTTCGCAGGTAGATACGTACATACATACGCACATACACACATACGTGCGTACGAACGTGCGTGCGCACGTACGTATGCATGTATCTAACCTATTTGTGTATGCATGCATGCATTCATGATTTTCGTAAGCAGGTTGGTTGGTAGGCAGGTAATTAGGTACGAAGTTACTTACCGGTATAGGTAATGTAGGTATGTTTTTATGTACGTGTGTATGTATGTACATACGCATGCATTTTGCATGTAACCATGCATTATGCATGCATGTATGTTTGCACGCGTGCGTGCACGTCTGTCGGTCTGTCTGTCTGTCTGCAGCTCTGTCTTTGTGATGTACCTGTATGCATGGTCGGTTCACGAACAGTAATGTCGTGGAGTGTAGTGGGCCGTGCTGAACCATAGTGTATCGTGATTGTGATTGTTAGTGACTTTGCATTATTTGCATGTGTATGTGTATGTGTACATATGTATGCGTATATTGCGTATCTATGCACAGATCTGTATACTCATATACGAAGAACGCATGTTACAACGCGGCAATCTAGCACAAGGCTCCGGCGACCCCACTTGCGGCAAGAACGTCGTGATGTGGGCCAGCGTGTGTAAGCTGTGGAAGGCAAGTTCCTTGCATGTGTGAATGTGTGTGAGCAGCATGAAAGTTGCAAGCTTGCAGCAACAAAAGGTTCATGTTTACTTGGTATGCGCGAGTTGTCTTCCGCCCGCGGCATAGCTACGTCTCAACTTACGGCTCAATCGACCTACGCGTCACGAAACCTCAGCATGGGTGAAACTGTTGCAGGACGGGCGACGAAGAACGCCGCACCGTCGATGGGCAGACCGAAAGCGTCTCTGCAGGGAAAATGGGCTGAAGTCGTATGCAGTATGTAGCCGACTGCGTGATGCGCAGATGAAGCTCGGCCGTACCTGATCATGCCTGCCTCCTAAGCACAAGGGCGACGAGTCGTAGCTTTGGCCGGTGACATTTCTTCTTATGCTTATGCTGAACATTAAACATTGACTATTCGTTTTTGTGTTATCGGTGCTCTTGCTTGAGAAGCCACATGAAGGCGGGTTTGGTTGTGATGGCTGCTTGCATGGTGATGTTGGGCTTTGCACAAGGTCATGTGCCCTAGCCGTGAAGACGTGTCAAGCATCAGCGCAGCGGCTTTGATGTGCTTCGAGAAAGTTGTGGCTCGCTATAGTACCCAACCATGTGGAGTTGCATGTGCCTCAGAGACTAACGAATTTCTGTTCTGCGTCATATAAGCACCCACCGAGACTTCATACCTGCAAGATTGTTGCCTTCTGTACGAAGTGCCAAAGGCAGCAACCAACTTACACCATACTGTGTCTACTCGACGATGCACTTCCCCACCAATAGCAGGAAACAAGAAAAGGGTCTTCGCGAGAGGGCCGAGATGATGGAAGACAGCGCAGCCCGTGTGGGCGATCGACTTCCACGGGCCAGGCTTGCAGATGTCGTTCGCAGGGGGGACAGGATCCTGGCTGCTCCTTGGCAAGAGGGAGGGTAATGGAGCGCAAGGCCGTGTAGGGTGCAGCGTTGTGTGTATTGAGTGCCTCAAGTTGGGCGTCAGGGTTGACGGGGCTTGAGGTAGCATGTGATTTAACGGCCTTGAGGAGGGAGTTTACACTGTGCTTGAGGAGCACCACACTGGTTTGACTCTCTCCTGAGCTGTTCGGTGTTTCGCAGGGTTTGCCTGGCACGCCAGAGCTCAGGTGTCGACATAGCTTCAGGGGGCTTCACAGTTTGATAAGAGTAGCAGGAGTTCTTCCAGGGCTGGCAGCGCTGAGAAATTCAGGCAACAAAGGCACCGTGCCAAAGACTGAAGGCACAAAGATGCTGCATAGTTAGATTGAGCATTCCAGCATCGAGTCCTGTGGTGGATGGACTTGGCCAGACGGAAAGCCCGAACCGGCCCGAACCGTAAGCCCTTCACAGGTTGTGTACCGACCATCAGAGATCCTCTCCGAGGACGAGTATGCGGTGAAGGTATGGCTCGTGCAGTTGTTGGGGCTTGAAAGCGGCAACCTCCACTGGGATGCCCCTCAGCTGCAAGAACGGCATGTGCGCTTACCTTCCCAGTAGCTTGCTTTGGTTGCTAGGATGGCTTGGTTCTTTGCGGCAGAAATATCAGCAAGCACAGCAGCCTCCAGCTCCATCATACTTAAATTTTGCTCCGATGCTTGCTCAGGACTTCATCCCTTCGTGCGAGAAGTGCCATGCAAAGCTCCTGCCAGTTCTCGATGAGCAGTGCTCTTGCCTGGTGTGCGGTGGTCGGAAGGGACGCCAGAATTGCGTACAGTTCCAGTGCCGTCAAGGCCTTGAGCTTGCAGCCTGCGAAACATCCGGCAGACAGGCCTACTGCGGCAGCCACCCTTTCTTCGGTGGCTATTCTGCCGTCGAGCCTGTGCACAGGGATGCCGGTCCGGCTTTGTGGGAGGAAAGGCTCGAGAGAGGGGGTGAAGCGTTTGAGGTCGTGATGACTGCTTCCCTTTGCTGGGACGACTCCTTGTCGGGTCCCCACACGGAAGCGCACATCTTTTCTGAGCGGTTCCAGGAGACCATTGCGCACGTTTAGCATTCGTGTGTGCAGCCACACGCTACAACCGTCACGGCGTAGCATGCCCCAGGATCCACGGTGTACCCGAGTGCAACTTCGATTGGATGGGCAGTCCATCCTCACGCCGACGCAGGTAAAACTGGGTGGGCAGTTGTCGACTGGAGTCTCCTCGGCCGTTGTTTTAGCAGAAGCATGGCCGCCTTCAATTGTTTTCTTTTTTCCATGGACTAGCCTCCGCAGCCTGCCAGTTTGAATTGGACTTTGCAGGAATCGCGCAAGAACGGCCTTTACATCTTGCTGCAGCGATTCGGGAACAGCAGTTGCATCGTAAGGCGTGCGACTGGCAAAGACACCAACAAATGGACCGAAGTTGCTGCTGCTTGCCTTGTTCGGCCGTGTAGATTCTGCAACATGCCCTTTCCAAAGACTTTCATGCCGCCCTTCTGCGTGTGCTGCGACGTTATGGAACATGTCAACTGCAGCTTTTCTGTGAGGAACTGTCATGCCCAGATGTCTGTAAAGACTTCAAGAAGCAGATCGTGGAAATCTCTGGTCCGACGAACCACCGTTCAGTTTCCCTCGTGGGGCTCTCCAACAAGAGCTTATGGATCATGGAGATTGAACGCTTCGAGCTCAAGCATGGGAGTCTGACGGCAGAGCACGTCGCCCAAGCTGCTTCTGAGATGCACAGCCCGTACTGTATTACGACGGATTGCAGATGTAGCGTGCTTGGCGCTGTCTGGTAGGTTTTTGAAGGTAGTGCTTTGGCATGCATGGCACTTTGTTGCTTTTCTGAGGTTGAGTGGAAAAAGGTGATGGATCTCCCTGGCTTGGATGCCAGCAACGCAGAGCCAGCGGACGGCGAGGACGACTGGGACTATCAAGTTGAGCCACCTCGCCTCATGTCGAAGGGGCCGCGGAGTGATCAGGTCATCATCTTCTCCGCGTCCGGCATCTCAGCATTATTCGTACTAGGTCTTCGCATTTTGGTGCATCTAAAGGCTGGACAGGTTGGCGTGGTTCCAGTTGTTCGAGCAGCATTGGCATCGACCTTCGGTTGTTCAGATTCGCTTTCGGTAGTGTGATGCGAGACTGCTGCTTGTTTCATCGTCGTCCTAGCCTGCTTCAGCATACATATACACATATACTCGCAAAGGAGGGGTGAAGGGTGGCTGACATGGACTGCAGACCGTGTTCCAGACACAACATGGAGTCAAGTTCACACCCTATCGCAAAATGCTGAACGCCTAACCATGCCAGGCCCTACACCGATTTGTCCCCAGCACATGCGTCACATACCTCTTTTTCATGGCGGTTTCGAATCCAAGGCTCGTCTTTGAAGCCTTGGCTTCTTGTCGAAATCGGAGGCTTGCCAGACTCTGTGTGGTCTTTGAGGGCTTAAAGGCTTAAAGACTTACAGAGAGAGCTTTAGCGTTTGGGCAAGTTACCAATGTTTCGACCCCAGAGAGGCTCACCACTTGGAGCGGAGATTCGCACAACCTTGTTGACCTCAATTGCATCCGTGCCTTTGCGGATGAAGGACGCTGCTTGACATGCGGCCCCAGAAATCACAAGCAGTTTTCATTGTGGTTTACCAAACCTACGTAAGGTGTACCATGGGAAGGGGACAACAACTCCATTGTCGGATCGGGCTTGCAAATGAGGGGCCTGTGCTAAGTCATCCTGGAAGGTTTGTGCCACACGTCTCCATTCTGTGAGTCTGGACTCGAATGCCGAAGAGCGGACGCTGCTCCCTGCCGTCATTCGCATGGAGAGGCGGCACGCTGGATATCTTTTCTTCGACGGCCTGGGCCAGATCTACCGATTGCGAGACGAAGAGATTATCCGTCCAGAGCACGCAGCTCGTCAAGAAAAGCGAACCCTCAAGCGTCTTTATTTGGCTGCGGCTACTCTTGTTTGGTAGATCGTGGGCTTCGCGTTTTCTCGTCTTGCGCTCGCTGCCCAAACTTGACTCGACAGGGATCCGTGGCACAATCAGGAGCCATCCTGACTTGGGGGCCAGCCAGCTTCCGGGCGGTAACCTGAGGCTTGAGAAAAAATCCGCTCATTACCATGCCCTAGGCCTCTTATAAGCAATTGCGAAGTCTCGGCATTCCTCGTTTTAGCGATGAACACAGAAACAGCCCACCCTCAGCTCGAAGTCGTCAACATTCGTGCGCAGACAGTTCTGTGGTTACGGGCCATGAAACCGGCACTCATCCCGTTTCTTGCTGGTTCCCCAGGTGGCCATAACTTTGAGATTTGAGAGTCTCAATAGATTTCCTTATGTTACTACTTCAGCATAGCCATTATCAGTGTTCCGAGATAAGCTATATATGGGACTCCGTGAGTCCCGGACAGCTTTTTGAGCTCGTGCTTTTTAGAGAATCCGGCGGCAGCACTTGTTCATAGGCTTCTTCTGCATGTTTTGTACGTAGGTCCTTTAGTTGTTGTATGCCAAACTAAGACGATACTACCGTCCGGCAAGGTCGATAGAACCCCCCACCACTAGCCTCTCGCGTCAAGGCATGGAGTGGTCCCAGTTTCATCCCAAGTGCTTCGCAGCGTATGGTGACGTTTACCTTTCACGAGAGTGATGCAAAGCGTTCTTGCCTTTTCTCCGTGTTGGAGCGCTTCGAGTACTTCCAGAAGGCCTTTGGTCAGTGGCAGGAGGGCCAGTCTTCGGAGATGTGCATCGTCGATGTGGAGCCTGAGACCTTCGATGTGTTCCTGCAATACTTGCACACTGGACGGCTCGGACTGCTTCCTCTTCAAACCTGGCTTTCCTTGCTTCAGCTTGGCAACAAGTATGTGATGCACCATTTGGTGGCTGTCAGCATGACGCAGATCCTTGGTGTCTTGGTCTTGATTCAACCGTTGAAGGCCTGTGCTGGCACGGGAGTGCTTGTTCGGATCGCTGGTGTTGTAATCGTGCATTGTTGCAACCAACGATGTGCCCGCAGAAATTCACAACGAGAGTGCCGGCCGTGAAGAAGACGGTTTACACTGATTTAGCCACAATGTTCCCGAGAACGAGGAAACACAGGCCTCGAGGATCATATATCAAAGCCTGCTGTCAAACAAATTTCCCGGCTTCGCCACTCCAAGTCGGGCAGAGCTCGTGCCATTGCTTGCTGCTCACTACAGGCACTCTTGATGATGGAAGGCATCTGGCCCAGGAGAAGCCAAGCGTCCTTGCGGACCTGCTGGCTTTTGCATGCAAATGCGGCGACGTTTTCAAGCTCAAGGTCATGGATCCTCAGTTGCACTGAGCTCCAAAAGGTGTTGCAGCGCCACTCTCCAGAGACCAACCATGGCCAGCTCGAATAGTAGATTGAATAAGTAGCCTGCTTTCCATATTGATGGGCATCCTTGGGCAACTCAGGATGCTGTCGCTTGCAACCGCTCGAGTCTTGTGGTGGACAAGGACTTCCTGGCACGGATGTCGTGCAGTTCGGTCGCTGCGCTGTCCCAATTGTTGGATTCGCTTTTGGAGCGTTCCCCAGCAGCACAGGACATAGACTCATTAGTTTCTGTTCCGGTCACAGGCTGTTTTGATCCAGAAAATCAGCATGTTGCGGGCCTGAGAAATTAAGGTCGCGTCACTTGCCCGGAAGCCAAGAGGCGAAAGATCCACCACACTCGTCAAGACATGTTGTGGAGAGCAGCCAGCGATGCGCCGTCATGGACCGTGTTTTGACAAGATGCCTGCATGACTGCAGCTGACACTGTATTGTGAAAGTGCATCCGCACCGCCAAAAGTGGGTTGGTGGTGCAAGTGCCCCGAAGGGGTGATGGGAGACAGAGGAGTCATTCATGCTGGAATGGACTCCGTGTTCCGGCTTCAAGGTGCGAAGAAAATTGCGAACCGTTGCATCCGCATTGAAACCCCGCACTGCAACACCGAAGCCTGAAATGACTTTCTGGTTATGGTTCCGGTCTCCGCCATTGCGGAGACTGCTATGAAAACACCTGCGATCAACCGTTGCACAGCGCCCTAGTCCGTCACATGCCATGCAACAGTCACATGTCCAGTCTGAGCACGGAGTAGCTGGAGACAGATGCTGTGGCTAAGCGTTTGTGTTCAAAGCCTCAAGGCCTTGAGGCCAAACTTTGAGCTTAACTCGGTGCTTCGAGTTTTGCTACTTCATACTCCAAAACCCGCTCCTGATTACTGAGGCATCTAAACCCCGAAACCCCCGCTTCCACGCGATCCGAGCTCGTCGCCGTTTCAAGTCTGCTCCATCCTGTCAGGGCGATCGTCGCCGTCCGAGTTGCGCATCGTCATCAAGGAGCGCCGTTCGGAACAACAGAAACTAGGACGCTGTAAGGCTTGTCTTGAGAACGGCAGGCACACCAAGGACCAGAATTGAAGGAATCTGGAAACCCTACAGGGCAATCTGCTCACCTGTGCACGACCGATTTTTTTCACGACTTGGGTAAAGTTGATGCAGGACAGGCGCCGCACGAGATAGATAGACTGAAAGCAGATGTGCCGGAAAACATGCTGGCGTCCGTAGCTCACTAGTCGCTAGTTGCTGGACATGAACCCTGATGAACCTTTCTTTCTGCCTTTCTCAGTACAATCCTGCCTGCCTCTTGTGCACAGGGCGATGTCACAGTTTTCGCGAGTACTACTGTTATGATTGCTAGTGGGAGTAGTGTTGCATTTGGTGGTGGTGGTGGTGGTGGTGGTGGTGGTGGTGGTGGTGCTGCTGCTGCTGCTGCTGCTGCTGCTGCTGCTGCTGCTGCTGCTGCTTGAGCCTGACTGTGACCCGTATCTGCATGGTTGGCTTGGGCTTTGCATTCCGGAAGGTGCAGCTATGGAGGCTTGCCAAGCAGTAGCGCAGCCTGGATGTGCTTCAAGAAGGTGAAGAACGCCACTGGCTACCCAACTCTCTAAACCCCAAACCCTAGACCCCGTGCCACTAGCCACAAACCTATATAAAGTAGTGTCCCTCAAACACCAGCCCATGCGGCACAGCCATGGCAATCGGCGAGGCTGGCAGCCTAGCACATCTTCTCGTGGAGGTCGCTGGCGTTGCAGTGTAGTTGCTTGGTGTGGAAATTGGTGCGAAAAGGATAGCATCAAACTACTTCCAGGCGAGAAGCAGGTCCATGACGATGCAGCGAGTTGTTTATGATCTCCCCCGCTTCTTTCAGACTTTCTTCCGCCATGTGTCGGACTTTTCGTCGATCCGGTGACGTGCTACACGCTAGCCGCAATTACCAAAGTGAAAAGGGCGGCAGCGTATCGTTTCGGGTAAGACAGGGGCCTCAGTGACTGGAACCGCATTTCGGGATGCATGTTGACCTTAGGCTCAAACTTCGCGACCCAAACCCCCAGACCCTGGACGGAGCCGCTTTTGCGTAGCGTGATTATAGCCGCAGGGATCCCACAACTTCGGTCGCATGTCTTGAATCTTGAAGTTGCTTGAGGCTCTTTTGCTGAATGCCGCCCTCTCCCTCATGAGACTCGTAGCCTTAGCGTGAAATCTTAAGCGCGACGCCGCGCCGTGAACACCGTCTCGAGTCCCAAACCAAGCAGAGGCAGCGGCAGCGGGCGGCCATGCCTGGGACGAGGCGGTAACACCTGCGCAGGGCACGGCATCAGACTCGGGCCTTGTGGGTTTCTTGAGCTTCGGAGCGGCGAACCTGCGATTTAGGACCCCGAGCTCAGAATTAGGGAAGGCGGAAGGTTCGTGATCGATTGCCCCTTCAGATGATTTCCGAAGCCAGTTTGCCTTTGAGGGGGCACTGTATCCGCATAGCGGTGGCTGTTTCTCTGTGCCTTTGCGATGATGCTTCTCACTACGGACGCAGGGAGCAGATGCGATAGTAACCCGCAGAATGAGTAACTTGCAACGCATTCAGAATGTTTCAGAACAGCTTTAAACCCCTATGTGTTGCCCACTATATTAATAATCATATCTAGCTTGCCATTTTAAAGAAGGCTGATCGGCATGTGAAGGGGGGAAGCGGAACGTGCCACTTGCTTTTTCCCAAGCCTTGGAGGTTCATGCTGCTATTGCAGCCAGTTCAGCGCAATCAACTCCAGCAGATGTGGTGTCCGCACTACTCACAACTGTGTCTGGGTTGCTGCGACAAGAGGACGGCGACGTGGAGTTCGGATCTCTGCCCGAGCTTTCGTGTTGGCCGTACCACGGGGAAATTTCATGCCATGCGAATCTTGCGAGTGCTACAACCCGCTCTCGCGTGGGCTCCGAAGTCCGAGCCGCGAGGGCGCATCGCATGGGCCAAGACTGCTGTCTCTTTGCCTTGCGCTTCGAAGTGCCGATGCTGAAACCCCGCTCATGGAAGAAATCCGGCAGAGACTTGCGCACTTCAGTTGCTCAGAAAGTCGGACAAAGCTGTGTAAACCGGTCGGGCTAGGATGGAAAGCCCTGGGACTCCCGGAGCCGCATCCCAAAATAGCGAAGAAAAATGCTCGTCCAGTTGCACATCCTGAAAGTTTCTGTACCTGTCGAGTAAAGTCGCGCAGCCTTGGAGCATTGAAGAACGCATGTCATGTGGATACAAGTGAACTGTCTGTTCAGGCCCCTGCCCCGCATGAGACTGGCATAATTTCATGAGGGCAAGGAATGATCCTTAAGAGGCTCTCACTGGCCCGAAGGTCCTTCATTGATTCTTTTCCCGGATCTTGTTCTGCTTGAACACGCGAACTAACCCAACTGATGCAAGCAGCGCAAAGTCATCGCAGGCCTTCCGGGGATGCTTATCTCCGTCCTGCCGGTGAATAAGCTGTCGCAGGAGCCGTACAAAATTATGTAGCTCCTGGTGTTGTTGCTCTCTGTGCAGCTTTCAGGGAGGATGTTGTACTGGTAATTAGGATGTTCGCAAGCGAGAATGACAGGCCTTTTCTAGGTTCTAGATGCGTTCTTTTGTAACATCCGAGTTGGCAGACGCCCGCACTTTGGCCCTAAATGACTCGACAAGCTTGAATTGAGGGAAATGTGGGCTCAATGTGGGGTCGAGGCGCAAAGCCTAGCTCAGAGGAAACATGGCATTGGGGACTGGCAGAAGGTAACCTTCAGGGCTGTTTCGTGAAGTGTTTCGGGGTTCTTGCTTCGGCATGTTTCGTTGGCTTTCTTTCAGCCATAGCTGCCGTGATATGGTTTGTAAATGACTGAAATACTTGGAACAAGCATCGATCGGGGCTTCCCTATCAGACCCTCACAAGACCTTTACAGAACCCCTAACCTTAAAACAATTATATACACCTAAGCCGGAACGGTAAGCCCTCCATCCCAAAGGCGACCCTCAAGGAAGCCTACACCCCTAAGCCCGTAGCCCCAATTCCCTTTACCCTGGGTTACACGGTTGCACGGCATGAACAATGGGCAGTGGGAGTGTTGGGACATAGCAAGAAGACCAACATGTACAATGTTGCTCGCTTCGTCATAACATGACGAAGGCAGCATGATGACAGTACTGCAAACCTTTCGCCAGTGCGCCATTGATCACTGTATAATTGTGTTGCCGGGTACCGTTTTGGTTCTTTTCTGGGATCCTGACTACATGTAAATTTACTCTCGAGAACCAATGTCCGGACCGCCATGCTTCGTCACAACATCACACAAAGGCACTGCAATAATGATAAAGATGTCTCAAGCCTTTGGCCAGTCCTCCGATCATCGTGAAGTTATCCGGTACGAAGACCAACAGAACGACCTGTGGCCGTTAACTTGTTGGCCGTTGGTTCCAAAATCTGACTGCATGTAGCCAGCCCTTTGCATGCTAGGAATGCCGCGAAGCATATCGCGACGGCAAGCCGCTCGGCAGAAATGGCAGTTCGGTGCAGTGCAGCCCCGGGCTGAGAACGGCAAAGCAACACATGGCGGTGCTCATGTGGCATCTGTGTTTAAGAGCCCTACTGTCCCCGTCCTCCAGCTTCAAGTTGCAGAGATTGCACAACACCTGAATAGAGCGCTGCGGCGATCTATATTGGAGCCGGAAAACGGGGCAGGGGAAACTCTCTAAGTTCGAAACCGACTGTCGCATTTGCGAATATCTACAAAGTAGATAAAAAGGCTTCAGGTACATGTTTTGTTTTTTCCCTGTAAGTCGTCAAAGAAATACTGGGCTTACTGGGCACATGCGACTGCAGCTGTTTGTCGGCTCGGTTTTGAACGTCAGAATACTTCTGTCTCGTGATGAACTCATGTTCCAGCCTAGCCTGTGCACTCTTCGAATTCTTGATGATAAGGCGAATGATGAAAGCCGGGACCTCAGACGGTTGGAGTGTTGGGGATTATACATGGCTCAGGAATTCGAAATGGATCAAAGATGGATCAAGAAGCGGTTGTTGTTGACGGCATCGCTAGGTACGCGTTGCAGCTAGGTACTGATGTTTGCCCCGACTGGAGATACGATTCTACTTGCTTCTGCCCTGGAAATGTCGGAAAATGTACACCCGGGTATCTTCTTGTGTGCGGGTCTTTGCCAGACCCTTCTTCTCCGAACAGTGGCTCTCTTTCAATATGTTGCACAAGTGCTCATTGTACATAATCATGAGCATGTCATCAGCCGACATGCCCTGCTTGCCTCACAAGCGCCAAGACAAGCGAAGTCTCTGTGCCATGGTTATCAATTTTTGCGGAATCATGAGGCGAGGAGATCGGGAAACCTGCCAGAGGTTGCTTCCAAACTTGAAACAAAAGGTGCATCCCAAAGATAGTGTGATTCCGAAAAGCCAAAGCAACATTGGAGACTCTTTGCCCGTCGCTGACGAGTAGACGCTGTTTATACTACAGCTGCAGCCCGGAGTGCACTCGGGGCCCTTGCCCCGAACGTTGTAAGCCCCAAACTCCTAAATCGAACACCAAAAGTGTTTTAAACCCTTAGTTCTAAGTCCAACTCCTAAGACTGTGGCATCGCTATTGCCGGCTGAGGAATGGGAGTCCCAGGTGCTTAGACAGAGAGTCAGGGTTTCAGGTTAGGGTCGCCGGGCTCTGCGGCAAAGAGTTTAGGCTTGAGGGGCTCGAGGCATCGGACTTCGAATATACATGGTCGCAGCCTGGAGTTTCGAAGTTCGGGATGACGTGAAACTGCGGTGCTCGGGATGTCTTTTCCAGAACCTGCAACACCTTCAACTACTTTGGGCTTGGATTCCGGGAGGCGGGTTTCGGGTTCACGTATAAAGCTTTGAGTTTTCGGGTTCGGGGACACGGGTTGAAAAGTTCAAGACGCAGGGTTTGGAATTTAGTATTTAGGTTTTAGCCCAGGATTTTGAGTTTTGCATTCTGAAGCCTTGAAGGAGAACCTTGCTATAGTGCCTGACACCTGAATCCACTAAGATCAAACCCATAAGCATAGACACCCAATCATGCAATGCATTCAAACTTGAAGCCCCAAGCACACCAGAAACTGTATGATCGAACATTTTGCAGGCGACTCCTGACCTGACACTGCAAGAGTTGCAGTGTCGTGGCCGCAGCTTTCGAGCGGTCGAACATCTGGGGGGTTTGAGTAGACGGCATTTGGGATGTGCATGAAGCCCTTGGCCTGCTTCAACGTGTTCAATCTTTGCAGTTGCAGATTTCGACCACTGGGAAATCCAAGCCTCACGCCAATTTGCTCAGTGCCCCAAACAGTTAAGCCCAAAGCCACAAGCTCCAAGCAGCAAACGTCACATAACCGCATGCCGCATCTTACGCCACGGGACACTCGGAACCTGCCTAAGTTGCAAACCCGATGAAGGGTTTTTAAGTGGAGCCCTATACCTGTTAGCTACTGGGGTTAATCTGAGTTTAGGAGGCTGGTATTGGGACTTTCAGTGAGGGGGGCTTCTTGCAGGGGTGCCTTGTTGCGAGGTATTGCAAGAAGGGTCCTATTGTGTAACGCCCATAGTCGGGTCCCTACTTTGCGAAGGGTGCTGGGGCTTCACGATGGAGATGTCAATAGCCCCCAAATAGCCGTGGTTCAGAGTATACCTTCACTCATATGTGGAGTCATGCTATAATACAGGGATCTGTACTTACTTAAGTGGTATTCGCTTCTTTTGGCACCACAAAGGGATCGGTATGTAGTCGCTTTGAAGGGACACCTGCCAGAAATTCAAAAAGACCTAAAGCCTCGGACAGTCAACGCCCCCAAGCCGTCGGAGTGATCCCAAAGATGGAAGACGGGAAGCTCTTTTCCAGGTTGGTTCATGAAGCAACGCCTCGCGAGAAAGACTTGAAGATCCAAGCGCCGCTGGGAAGACATAAGCAGGGACCACCATAAATGTTGCCATATATAAATCAGATTGCTCGGAGTTCGGTGATATAGGAACTTTATGTTTTCTCTTATACATGGAATTATAGACTAGGCTTGCAGCCAAAAACTAGGGAGTTTAGTGTTGTCCCTGAATCTTAGTCTAAATGGAATGGGCCATTTCTTCCTGGTCTAAATGGAGCAGACTAGGTTTAGTGAGAAACTAAGAAAGTCGGTGTTGCGATTAACGAGGCACTTCGGTGTGTTCTTCTAGTCTGATGGAACAGACTAGCTTTGGTTCTGGACAAGAATCCAAGAATTCAGTGTTTTGTCCTAGTCTGCATGGAACAGACTACGTGTTTGGCACTGGCAGCCTGAAAGCAGGAGAATGGGTTTGTCGTGCTTCGTCTTGTCGTGATGAGACAATTTGCTTGTCATGGTCAGGGTTGTCGTTCCTTGTGGTTGTTGGTGCACCCCCTCGGCGATATAGTGCTTCCAAGTCTGTTATGTGACAAGTCGTGGCCGGGGAGGGGCGTGGGGCTGGCAGACCTTGTGGGAAAGCCTCTTGGGAGGTGTCGCGGGCAGCGTCGAAGAGCGGGGTCGCGGGAGTGTCGGGGAGTGGCATGGGTCCGCCGGACTTTGGGGGAAAGCCGTTTGCGTAGGGTCGCCCGGACCTTGGGAGAAATCGCCGGCAGAGTCGAGGAATGGCGTGGGGCCGCGGGACCTCGCATTATCGGGGAGTGGCGCGGGGCCGTCCGACCCTGGAGATATCAGCAATGAGCAGTGTATGATACATAACAGTGTGATCTACCGTGACGAACCATGGTCATGTTCGTGGATGCTGCAGGGCCCGCAAAGCCGTCATTACTAAGCCGAATGGCAATCAAACCAGGTATTGGCCGTCGTGCTCAGGTCCATGATGATAACGATGCGTGATGCAGGTTATGTGGCTCTAAGCCCAAAGCCGAAACTACAACCCCAAAGATTCAAATCGTAAAATCCTCAACCCTGGCGATTATACGGGTCGCGGAGCAGGTTGCAAGGCGAGATAAACTTGCTCCAGGCTGGCTGCTGAGTTCAAGGTCGAGGAGTGAGGATGTAGGGTTTAGGGTTGCTGAGTTGGGATTAAAGCAGGTTGGGCTTCTGATGTTCACGTTGGACTTTGCGCGGATTGGTTGGAGCAAGAAAACATCATGACAATAGGGTTCTCAGCACACTATTCCTCCAGCTACAGAAGCCCTCGGTGTTCAAGGTTTCGGATGTGAAGGAACAAAACGCGGCCCTAAACCACTAGCCTTGGCGAACGAATCCATGGACCCCACATCCTAAATTCCTCAGGCCAAACGGCCAAACCCTAAACTAACGCACATTTTCCCACCCGAACTCTGTAACCAAAAAGCCTTGAAGCCTAAACCAGCCTAATGCAAGCACAGACACGCCGAGCCCCTTCGCCCCCCCTCGGACTGCAGAGTTTTGCGTTTGAGGTTTCCGGCGTTTCTGTCTCTATAGGTCAGCGTCTAAGGCAGGGTTTAGGCTTCAGAGTTTTAGGAGGAGCATTGCTGAAGTTGTCCAGATCGCTTGGCTGAATGCAAGAGAGGATTCCTGAAACGTTCCATCATATTGAAACCATGACGACCCCCTTCGTCCACTCTGAGCCATCGACCTCGAATACAAACAGTTCTGCATGACCTGCATGGCTTTTTGCAAAGTGGTATGCACTCCCACAGCAAAGGAAGTCTTGGCAGTATCCTCAACCCTCTTAATCTCCAGGCACGGCTGCAGCAAAACACTTCCATGCTCAACCAGGCCACGAAGTTGAGTCCCCAACAGCTCCACGGAGACCACAGCCTGCGTTCTGCATTCGACAGCAGGATTTGTTGAGTTTTTGTTCGAGGTTACATACCAGTAGGGAAGAGTTGGGCGAGTTGGGCAGCCTTTGCCCATGCACTTTGCTATCGTTTCTTGAGGCTTGATTTTGCAGTGCACTTGCAAGTCTATACTTTGTGCCAGAGAAGGTCAGGAGCCCTGCGTGAACGCCCAAACCATGGACTGTCGATCTAGGCTTCAACTCTGGATTTCTGAAGCATGCTAAAGCCGGAGGCTACCTGGGCGCCAAAGAGATCGCAACACAGAAAGAACCTTAATTTGCCCAAACCCATAGAACTTAGCCCAATCCCTAGTCTTTGCTCCAAGCCTTGGACCCGGAAGCATTGCCTGTTTCAAGCTGCAGCACATGATGATGCTGGCCGACGCCGAGAAGGTGAGAGACTATGCTAGTTGTTCTGTATTTGTGTTTCAGTTGAGGTGGTGTTTGTTCCAAGATTTTGGCGGTAGATTCCTTTGCTTGGTTTTGAGGTTTTTGGGGCATCAGATTTGTTGGAAGCTTCAGGGCTTCAGAGATGTCAGGAGTTCTTAGGCCCTACAGGTTTCATGTTCATATTTTGTGGTTGAGGGGGATCAGGCTGAAACGCCAGTCGGACTCAGGCATGGTGTGTAGAGCTTCGGATCCAGATTGCCTCACTCATCGAGGGTGGGGGTTCGTCGGATACAGAGCTGACAGTGGATTGGACGAGTAGGTAGCTTTGACATGTCGCCAGCTCGAGGGCAGCAAAGCAAGTGCGGATTTTGTGCACACAGTCGACCGTGAGTATGCACTTATGTAGGCACACGTTGGTCTATAGTGATAATAACAGTTCGTAATTTTGAATGTGTGGGTTGGGACCGTCCATAGATTTCTGACAGACTCGCCAAGCGGTGCGAGAATTGGAGGTTTCAGGAACATAGCACTGGCGTGCTGGGAGTAGGCTACCAACTTGGCAAGGCTCTTCACGTTCGCATTGTTTCGACACTTTGTCTGTGAATGGATCGGTGACATGCATAGGCTTCTACTTTACACATGTTCAAAGACCACACATGCCTTCCAGCATCAGCGCCTTAACTGCACCGGTGAGCGAGGCACAGCTGCTTAACCCAAGAAAGGGTGAGCATTGAGCATCTGTGTAACCAACGTACGACCTATGAACTCGGCTCGGGGTAGGAAAGTTGTGTCCCTTGCATCCTGAGTTTAGCTTTCGCGTCTCGCGTGCTGAAACCTGAACCTGCCAATACGTTTCCAGGACTTCTTCGAGATGACCTTCAGCAAGGCCTGGATGGACGCACGTGGACTTATCAGTGTATTGATTACCATTGCGGGGTCGATGATAAGATATCAATCTTCAGTCAGTCGCAGGCCTGCCAGGAGATGAAGGGAGCGGTAGGAAGAGTCTAACTACAGCTGAACCCCAAAGAAGCTACAATAGAAAGTCAACATCCAAGCAACTAAACCACAACATCAATACCCCTGTGCAACCCTGGTCTTGTCCACAGTTTACCAAAAAAAGGACCCCCCCACCCCCCCACCCCTTCAGCACGTCAAGGAGCGCTTGCCCCGCCCAAAGCATGAGTAAATCCCGCTTTCAAACTCCGGCAAAAAGCAAAAGGTTGGTAATGGTGGGCCGAACCCTTTAAACCCCAGGCCTTAAAGGGCCCTGAGCCCGACGATGGAAGACCGAAGCTCCTTCCCAGGATGGCCAGAGCCTATAAATGCCCCACACCAAAACCTATGAATATATTGGAGGGCAGTGAGTCTGAAGCCAAGACAAACGTACTAAGCGCTGGGATTCCGCGAGTTCAGCAGAGTCTGTGTGATCGAAAATCCTGCAGGCTTCGGTCTTCGAGATGCAGTGTCGTGGCTGCAACTTTTAAGATGAAAAAAGGCACCTGTAGAATTACCGATTCCTTAAGGCTCCTGACTAGGAGTATCGTACAATTCAATCCAAAACACCACTGTAGCTATTCAGGCCCCCTAATTGGGCAGAGATGCTGAAGCTTCAGCGCTCAAACATCTGGGGGTTTTGGGCAAAGGGCATTGAAGACGTGCGTCAAGCACATGGCCCACACCAACATGCGCAATCTTTGCTGTTTGGGATGTCGATCAACGGGAAACACGAAGATCAATCAAAGACTGTTTCTGGTTCTGAGAACCCGACTGAATGTAAGTTTGTGTTTGAAAGTCAGTTTCCGAGCCGACGCCACAGGAGACATGGGAGGAGTGCGTGGAAGCCTTCCGAGATGGAAGGCCGCTCGGCAGGAAGTGGCAGTTCAGCGTTAAGAGCAAAGCAACACATCACGGTTTTCGTTGCCTGCCCTGTCCTCCAGGCTCCAGCTGCAACTTGCAGAGATTGCAGAGACACTGGAGAGAGGGAGAGAGAGATTGCGCCACCATCTATGCTGGAAGAGAGGATGGGGCAGTGGAGAGCATGGTCTCTCACATCCACGAGCATGTACAAAATAGAAAGTACGCCTTACAGTTTCTGATTACAATTTCAGGAAATACTGGGCTTTCTCAGTGCATGCGATTGCAACTGTGTTTCGACTGGCTTGGAGAATCAAAAACAGCTTTCTGGATGAGCTCATTCTCCCGATAAGATTCTTGATGCCAAGGCAAATTATGAAGGCCGGGACCTCAGACGTGGAGCATTGGAGCTTATAAAGGGTCCCAGGAGAGTGACGAAAGCCGTGCCTGAGATTGTTGGAGGATTGCGTCGTCGCTCGGAATTTGTTCTAGCGAGGTACGGCTGGTTGCCTTGACTGGGGATACGATTCAATTCAACCTGCATGTCTTTCCTTTCAATGTCGGAATACGTACACCCGGGGCGTCTTCCTGTCTGCAGATCTTTGGCTCTCTTTGACTACGATTGCACAGCATAAGTGGTCATTTTATGTAAACGTCCGTGGTTCCGGAAAGCCAAAGCAGCAACATTCAAGATTCTTGGCCCATCGCTGACGAATAAACAATGTTCATGCTACAGGACCGTAATGAATATCGGAAGCAGCAGCCCAAGGCCCAATCCAACGCAGGCAGATCCTTAAGCCGAAAAGCTTCAAGCCTCCATGATTCACTTGATGCATCCCAAACGTCTAGGCTCTCAGTGTTTATATACCAAATCCGCAAGCCCCACACTCCGAATCCCGAACCCTTTCGACTGTGGCATCGCCGTTGCCGGCTGAGGCTTACCAAATGGGCGAGCTGGACCCTGGACAGAGATTCAGGGTTTCAGATTGGGTAGTAGTAGTAGTAGTAGTAGTAGTAGTAGTAGCAGTAGTAGTAGTCTTTAGTCTGGAGTTTAAGAGGAAGGGGCAGGAGGCTTCGGGCTTCGGACCTCAGTTGTCACAGTTTACATTCTGGCAAGTTTTTTGTTTGAAGTGTTCTTTTGGCTTGAGGGTTTAGGGTGTAGGATGTGCAAGCCAATCCGAAGTCGGCCCCCGAAACTAAAGCCCGGGCCTACAAATCTTCAGAATTGCATTTTAACGCCCCAGTGCCGGTTAGCAGTTGAAGCTCGCGGTTTGCAGAGGTGCACATAGAGAAAGAGGGTACCATCCAGCGCGTGTGGCGTGTCGGATCGTCCCTGAAGCCTATAAAGGCCCCACACCAAAACCCATGAATATATTGGAGCGCAGTGAGTCTGAAGCCAAGACAAACGTACTAAGCGCTGGAATGCCGCGAGTTCAGCAGAGTCTGTGTGATCGAAAATCCTGCAGGCTTCGGTCTTCGAGATGCAGTGTCGTGGCTGCAATTTTTAAGATGAAAAGAGGCACCTGGAGAATTACCGATTCCTTAAGGCTCCTGACTAGGAGTATCGTACAATTCAATCCAAAACACCGCTCTAGTTATTCAGGCCCCCCAATTGGGCAGAGATGCTGAAGCTTGAGCGCTCAAACATCTGGGGGTTTTTGGCAAAGGGCATTGAAGACGTGCGTCAAGCACATGGCCCACACCAACATGCGCAATCTTTGCTGTTTGGCATGTCGATCAACGGGAAACCCAAACCTTGCTCAAAACCCCAAGCACCTAAAGCCCTGAACCTTTCGCGACTCGGAGCCTGCATCGATTCCTACACCCACAAGCTCCAAACCCGTGGACGGTTTGTAAACGTGGTCCTATACGTGTCAGCTACGCGTTCTTGGATTTTCTTGGGGCTGGCATTCGGGCTTTCAAGAAGGCGGATGTTCTTGCAAGGAGGCGCGCCTTGTTGAGAGGCATTCGTAAGAAGATCCTATTACGTACGGTCCGTGGTCAGTCCCTATTATTACCAGCGTGTTCGCTTGCCAGGGCTTCAGGACAGTCAATAGCCCCTAGCCCTAGTTCTGGAGTATCGCCTCAATCATATGCGGACTCATGCCTAGTAGTTCGGGGGTGTGACTAGTTAAGAGGTTTTTCGCTTATTCAGGTGCCAACTACAGGGGCGCCTGACAGAAGTGAACGCCTCAAACTGCCAACCCTTAAGGTCTACAGCCCCGTTGCCCCCGGAGAGATCCAAAGATGAAAGACCGCAGCTCCTTCCCAGGATGGCTCGAGATGCTGCGGAAGCTGAAGTAATTTCACTTCGTGCTCAGCTGGAGCAGGTTGGAGAATCAGGGATTCATGAGGGTTTGGGGCTTCGGGTTCAGGGTTTAAGAGGCAATGAGGGAGCGGAGCCATACTGGTCTAGAATCCAGAGTGCCTGATTCATGCACGGTGGGGGCTGGAGGGGTCCATGGATGATAGGGGTGGAGGGGCTCATGGCTGACAGTAGATTGGACGGGTGGATTGGTTTGACATGCGGAGGGGACAGCAAAGCAAGTGTGCATTCCACGTTGCTTAAGTTGAGTTGTGTGCATGCACACAGCCGGGCATGAGCAAGGCAGCAGCAAGTTTTTCGGCGATCGTTGTTCTACTGATTTCAGGATACTGTTGTTCGAATCTGTGTGTTGGACGTAAGCCCTAAACTCTGACATCTCGTGCGTAAACCCTTTGCCTGGCCTGGACCCTCATTATACTGTACTATACTTTATTATGTTATCATAGACTACACGCCGAGGCACTGGAGTTGCACGGCACAGGGTAGTGAACTTTCCGAGGGGTGTACCATCACGCTTTTCAGCAACAGCCATTCTCTTCAGCAGCATGCGTGGGATGGGCTGTTCAGGCTTGTCATGTGTTAGCCGATTTCAGTCGCGCGCACTGCCAACCCTTATTGCCAGAAACTCAAAGAAATTTCCAAGATAGGCCCCAGCATATTTACAAAGGGTTGTGTTCGTAGCGAGCCGTCGCAAACCCCAAATCCTGAATCGTAGTGCCTTCGAAGACTGTTAGCTGCAAATTCCAACGCTTGGGCTGGAGGCTTTGTTTCCATTTGTCATGTGTCGGTTGCCGTTGCGCCATCAGGTTGTGCTGGCTCCGGGAACATGGTCCAGCGCACGCGAGGGCACCTATGGTCAGAAAATTGGCGGCAAGAATTGCGCACAGTCGTAGCCTTCGTTGATCGCGTCCTGCCACCATGCAATGCAACTTGGTCACAACGGTAGATGTTCACCAAGCAAGTCTTAAAATCAATACAAGCACAACGATTGATGGCCTACAGATTTCGATACGGCCAGAGTCCATTCCTTTTGTAAATCAGTACTATTGCGACGAAGAGGACCAGCCCTATTGCTAGTCCTACCCCTACGGCTACTCCTACTGCTACTCCTACTACTAATACCGCTGCTACTACTCCGACTCCGAGTGCTACTGCACTAATTACTTTTATCGCTACGACTGCTGCCGCTGCCGCTGCTACTGTTACTGTTGCGGTTACTGCTGTGCACGGTCTGCAGATATGCATGCCATGTGTTCGTTGCTTGCACGGCTTACATTTATTAGCTCAGACTTTGAAAACACAAATGCTGTTTTACATAAGCTTACCTGGCTAATTACTGCATACTCAATTAAGAAATAGTTAAGTATATTGTAGAACAGTATTAGATTATATAAATATATACCAACTGATAATAAATTAGTCTATTCTCTGAGCTTCAGTTCTTCTTCGAGAGTGTCGGACCCGGGGATATATTTTTATTTCGAGCTTTCTGATATTTTTGAGTATATATACACTATATGTTACTCCTACAATATGAAATGCTTCTTATATCGCAAAAGGTTCAATTAAATTTAGATTCAAGATAATCAAACAATATCGATATCTTTATTGTTAATAGGATCAGGTCGGTTGAACTTGAAAATATGAGTTAGTTGGTGAAGTTAGTAACTATTCTCTAATCAAACGGTGTCGCGCTGGTTGCATCTATGATTCTGTGCGCACCCCTGCTCCCCTGTAACTTGGGTCATTTTCCGCGTTTCTTCGTGAAAGCCTCTTGAATGGGTGCCTCACGTGACTAGAATCCTGGAGATTGTAGTGTCGCGAGCGCTTCTCTCATGGTACTAAAACCCCGAACATTTTGGTAGCTGCAGGAAATCTCGGGGTATTTAAAATTTACCAAATATCGGTAGATTTAAGGGGACATTCTCGCGGTATTTCTTTTCTACAGGTTTTTGGCGGAGGCTCCGGTGCTGTGCTTGCTGAATAAAACCAAGTATTCGTCGCATGTCAAGGTTCGTGCGCGTCCGGTTCGTGTCCGGTTCGTGTCTGAGTTCGTGTTTTGATTAGGGTTCGCGTCTGGTTCGCGATCGGGTTCATGTCCGAGTTCGTGTCCGGTTCGTGTCCGGGTTCGTGTCTGGGTTCGTGTGTGGTTCGTGTCGGGTTCGTGTGCGGTTCGTGTGTGGTTCGTGTCTGGTTCGTGTCCGATTCGTGTCGGGTTCGTATCTGGTTCGTGTCTGGTTCGTGTCTGGTTCGGGTCTGGTTCGGGTCTGGGTTGGTGTTTATTTCGCGGTTGGGTCGTGTCATATCTGGTTCGTATGCTGATTCATAAATATTAAGTTATAAATATAGATGGGATTTAGAATTCTTTTATATAGAAAAATATGGAAATTTTAATTTTTTTCAAAATTAATACTACTTGCAATCTATAATATCTCATAAATTCTCTCTATTTTCAACTTAATTCTCAACTTCAAATCTTGGCCCATAAATAAAATAGAATATAATTCTATATATCACAATATCTCCTAGGAACTTGATTTTTAGGATCGTATGGCGATAAATGAATTGATGTAAAGGATCGCATGGCGATAAATGAATTGGTGATTTTCTTCGAGCCTTCTAGAGGAGTGTGCGCGGCGTTGTGTATGAAGTGTGCGTATTATATTGTCTATGAATAAAAATATTTCTAAAATTGGATTATATATGGTCATGCGCTCCGCGCCCCCCCCCCCCAATGGTCAATGGTCCTGGATAGGGTGGCTCCTCCCCCCCTGCGGTGTGGGGTGGGTTTTCTGTGGCTTTCTCATGGTTCTGGAGGCCCCCCCCCCTCCCCTGTGGTGTGGGGTGGGTTCGTGGGGTGGTTGGTTCTGGTATGGGGGTGAATCCTCCTCGATTCCCCGTGGGACGTGCTGCGCGGTGCGCGTTGTGGTCGTGAAGTTTCTCCAATGTGCCAAACCACTTTGTGTGGGAGCGGATTTTCTTATTCTACGACGTTACTACGACGATGACCACCAGCACTACGACGACAAGAAGTACGAGTACGACTAGTATTGCTATGACGAGAACAACTAGGATTGCTGCCACTGCTGCTGCTACTACTAAGACCAGTACAACGGTTACTGCTACTACTACTGCTGCTAGCTTCACCACCACCAATACGACGATAACGACGACCCAACTCTGACACGGAATGCTAGAGTCCGAGTGTCCTGCAGTTGGAATGGTATGACTTCGGGACTCTTTTCTGAAACTGTTGGGCTCATGAAGGTGCTAGCATGGCCTTTCGAGGGTGCTGGCATGGTCGTGCGAGGGCTGAGGAAGCTGCTAGCATGCCCGTGGCAGGGCTGTGGAAGCTGCTAGAATGGCCGTGCGCAGGCCCTTCGAGAGATGCAAGGATTGAGAAGTGCTGATGGCTGTCAGTGCGGGGACGGTCTTGCAATTTTTGCGGGCTTTCCCAGAGGCCAGCAGCTACAATGTGCTCATACTGGACCCTGCTCGTAAGCATGCCCTGCTTTCCAAACCGCAGGCCTCAAAAGAGCTCATTTTCTGTGAGTTGGAGCGGTGAATCGCAATAGGTGGCCATTTCTTCATCCGACCGAACATATCCGGCCTGGTCATGGTCGACCTAGACAACTACAAGGGCCAGCTGCAGACACTGCTGGCACTGAGACCGCGTGTGCTGGTTGAGACGTCCCCAGGATGCTATCAGCTGTGGTTGGTTCTGCCACAACACCTCCCAAGCAAGTCGACCTTAGACGTTACACGAGAGCTTACCTCAGCATTGGGAGGGGACATGGCATCCGCCAAGGTCACTCAGGTAGGCCGGCTTCCCGGCAGTATCAATTGCAAACCTGCCAAGGGTTGCAGTGTCAGTATCTTGCACAGTGCAGTACAAGATATGGACGAGCAGTGCTACCTCGATTTAACTGCCAACTCGGTGCTTTCCGTGACACCGCATGGTATTCAAGTTGGGTCTACAGCTCCTAAGAAGGCTGTCAAGCACCAACCCAGGCAAGCTGTCCAGCCGAAAGAGTCCCATGCGGATCGGAGCGCTGAGGACTGGAAGCTGGCATGTCAGTATTTCGAGCAGCATCCAGGCGCGACAATCCAGGAAGCAGCAGAGGCTTGTCACTTCCAAGCCCAGCGGCCTAATCCGAAGTACTATGCTGATTTGACACTGCGCAAAGCACGGGAGCATGTCCGCGGCAAATGTGCTCTACCTGGCAAGCCTGCTTCGTCGCACCAGGAGGCATTTCAGCTTAGGCTGTTTTTTCTTGTAGGGTTATAGGTCTCAGATTTGCGGGCTCTGGGTGGAGAGTTCCCTTGAAAGCTTCGGTAGACAGCCAGTACTATCTGCCGGCCAGGCCCCAGCAAACGTTGGACAAGATACCCAAGCCATTCTGGAAGAGTACGCTCCTCGCCTGGTGCAGCAGGACAAGATCTGTAGGAATGTCCTGCTCTCCCTTCGTTCCATTGATAGTATGCTACTGCTCTACTATACTGTCCTATGTCCTATGCTGTACTATACTATATCTTACTCTAATAGAGTATTGTTTGCATCGGATGAACTTCGTCAGATTTGCCTATCTCAATTAACTGCATCGGACCAACTTCGTCAGAATTGAAATATCCATCCGACATGATTGGAAGATAGATTCAAAACATGCGAATTCGTACAAATTCGCAACAATTAGTCCATATCAGTGTGGAAACTGTATCGGATCAACTTCGTCAGATTTGCCTATCTCAATTAACTGCATCGGACCAACTTCGTCAGAATTGAAACATTCTTCCGATATGATTGGAAGATATATTCAAACCATACGAATTCGCACAGATTCGCAACAGTTGGTCCGTATCGTTGTGGAAGTTGCATCGGATCAACTTCGTCAGATTTGCCTATCTCAATTATCTGCATCGGACCAATTTCGTCAGAATTGAAACATTCTTCCGATATGACTGGAAGATATGTTCAAAACATGCGAATTCGCACAGATTCGCAACAATTAGTCCGTATCGTTGTGGAAGCTGCATCGGATCAACTTCGTCAGATTTGCCCATCGCTTGTCGTTGTCTGTACAAGGGGAATGGCTCGAATCCTTTTGGTCCTACACAGGCCACTAGCTTGTTAGCTAATACGGCCATAGTTTGTTATGCCAGCGGTAGCAATTTCCGATCGTCCTGCTTGCTTGCTTTGCACTGCTTCGATCTACGATTGGTTGCCCAGGGCTTTGTGATCGAGAGTTAACTGGATTCCTCTGCTTTTCACGGCTTTGTGACCGAGAGTTGAGTGGATTCCTTTGTTTTTCACACAAATGATGAGACATGGTCCGCAAAACGGCGCCTTGCTCTATGTACATGGTAGACTATGACATCGCGCTCATAGCTCACATAGCGATACCTACGAATTAGACCAGGCATCGAGGTCTGCTCGCATGCGATGACACGGTCGCCCGACACCAACGGCATAGCACTGCGATGTGTCGTCTTCCTGGCATAGCGCAGGTGCCGCTTCATAGCCTCACGCATCGCTTGGCCTCCCCATGGATGATGCTACGAAGCTGTAGATTCTTCCAACGACTTTCGAAGGGTTGCCCAGCCAGATTACATCACCGGCGGTAAGGGTGTCGGCAAGTGTCGGACGTCTATGGACCCGAGTAACATCCGAGGATTTAGGCTTGAAGGCTTAGGGTTAAGAATATAGAGCCAAGCACTGTCAAGCCGCGTTTTCCTGGGCGGGCATGGCCCTCATGATCAGGGCCAAGCGGCCAAGCACACGAAGGCGGAAGTTCTTCAACCTGTTTTCAGCTCTGTAAGATTGCAGGATGTCACTGGGCAGGGCGGCAGACTTTACTGTTCTTGGCACGTTCTTGCAGATTGGCATAGATGGGCAACGATTAGTCCATATCAATGTCAAACCTGCATCGGATCAACTTCGTCAGATTTGCCTTTCGCAGTTAACTGCATCGGACCAAGTGCGTCTGAATTCAAGCATTCATTTGATTTGGTTGGAAGATTCATGCAAATCATTGCGAATGCATCAAGACCATATCATATCATCTACTATCCTATACTGTCCTATCCCGACACGATACTGTACTATACTACAAGCCCATCGTATCATGCTGAGTCCCTCCCGACACGATAGGAGATTGGCCGTCGCTTGCCTCAGCTGGCAGAGCGGGTATCTAGCAGGATCTGCTCGGAGTGCAAGCAGCGGAAGGATCAGGCCTTGTTTTCCAGGACGGAATGGGCCAAGAAAGACTCCGTCTCCCGTTGTCTCGAGTGCAAGCCAGTGGATGCCAATCTACAGAAGCGTGCCAAGAACAGTAAAGTCTGCGCTGGCTGCAATGTGGGCACTCCTCGGGCTGGCTTTACCAAAACGCAGTGGGCCGCGGGCGTGAAGTCCAAGTGCCCAAAATGCGTTGAGACAGCTGCCCTGGAGCAGTGCAAGCTGACCAAGACTTGTGCTACTTGTCGCGTGGTGAAACCCAAGGCTGATTTCAGTACTTCCCAACGGCAGCGAAATAAAGCCAATGGGAGCCAGTGCTCAGCCTGCTCACAGAAACGCCTCAAGGAGACCCACGATCAGCTGGTGCAAAGATCGGTGCAAAGCTTAGCCGCTGCGGATCCGGACGGATGTGCCTGACCAAGGCGAGGCTGCGCCTGATAGAGGCGAGGTTGCCAAGTGGATCTTGCAGGGGCCGCTCGAGGCCCTGCCCAGTGAGAACCTACAATCTTACAGAGCTGTCCTTGCTCAGCAAGGGCGCAAAAATTTCCACCTTCGTATGCTTGGCCCTGATCATGGGGGCATACCCGCCAAGGAAAAAGCGGCTTGACTGTGCTTGGCTCTATATTCCTGACCCTAAGCCTTCAAGCCTAAACCCTTGAGCCTAAAAATCCTCGAATACTACCCGGGGCCCATGCCTGTCCAGGTTGCGTTGCTGCAGGCTGCACATGAAGATTGTAGCCACACCGGCGGACGTCACGCGGTCATCCGAGCCATGAAAGAAGTGGGTCCCAAGATGCAGCTAGAATCTGCTTCTTTGCTCTCGTAAAAACTTTTCGATTCGACAGGGTGTATAGGGCTTTTTACATCAGACAGGAAAAACTTGGAACAACATTGCCCTCGATGGAGATTGGATAGTTCGACGCTGTGAGCTCTGCCGCTCCAACAGCACGCGTGAGATGGGAAAGGCAGACGTCCGACACTTGCCGACGCCTTTACACTCAGGTGATGTCATCGGCTGGGACCTAAAAGCAGTGACCCCGCATGATGAGCCGAAGTGGTCTATGCTTCTCGCGCTCGATTTCACCAGCGGGAAGACTTGGACGTGGGCTCTGGATTTCGGTGAAGCCACTGCCGTCAAGGTCCAGGAGCTGATGCTCAAGTTCTATGCGGACAACGAACTCCCAGCTATATGCTGGACTGACAATGGTGGCCAGTTCCGCAACTTGCTCACGACTGCCATCGAGGCCACACTGGGAGTCCGTCCCCGAACGATCCCGCCGGGACGCCCCCAGGCAAACGGGCTGGTGGAATGCCACAACCGGCTGCTAGACCTGGCGCACGCCGGACAGAGGAGCCGCCTCCTCGCGGCGACGGTGGCTGTAAACTCCCGCATCCATCAGCGGTATGGCGTCAGCCCAGAAAGCTTGTGGCGCTCACTGCGACCCACCGAAAGTCGTTGGAAGAATCTACAGCTTCGCGGCATCATGCATGGGGAGGCCAAACCCATTTCCGAGGCCGATTGGCTACGTTTCCTCGATGAGAGCCAGGCTGGTCTCACGCCAGAGTACGTGCAGCAGGCAACTGAGGCGCTCCACAAGGTCGTGGCCCCAATTGCTGGCGCCCTCAACAACAAGAAGATGCGTGAGGCCATGAAGCGGCACCTGCGCTATGCCAGGAAAAGGACGCATCGCAGCACTATGCCGCTGATGTCGGGCCACCGTGTCATCGCACGCAACAGCCAATACACGACGAAGACCGGGCGTGGCAAGTTCGAGACCCTGGGCGGTGAAGTGCGAGAGTTCACAATCCTCTCAGTCTCGCAGGGTTTCGTGAGCCTCAAAGACAACAAGACCGGTGCTTGGATTTCGCCATCATGTTTTTCGCTTCTTCTCACTACGACGTCTCCTGTATTTACTAAAGAAGCCTACCTGTGAGTGCACATACATGTCAGTGCGTCATGTGCACCTGCCTCTGCCAGCTCTAGTTCAGTCTTGCCTGCTGTTGTAATTTGTATGTTTTGTTAAAATCGAAACGTGTTGGCTCACGTGCCTTGTTCTAGCTACTAGGCGCGCCAAGTGTGCACGGCTGAATTTCAGGTAGTGTAGCTCTGCAAGCTGCATGCCTGCGGTCGGTCACGCGAAGCAACAACAGTTGGGGTGCTGTGTTTGCCCCTGCAGCGTACGACCAGCTAGCGCGATTCACATACCTATACTATTCCTTAGGGTTCCCTATTATAACCATACTATAAAGAAGCCCAAAACCCTATTCTAATTACTAAGGCCCTTATTTGTAATTTTTTGAGGCACATCGCTGCCTGTTGCCCTCTCAGGTCACGAGTATGTCAGATACGAAGCCAGTCTCAAGCTCATGCCAATCCAGCTGGAGGCGGATGACACAGTGCCTATATCACCTCGTCTGCGCACGCCTGATTCCGCAAAGCGTCGACGGGCACCCGACTTCGACCCTTGGATTCGCATCAAGGTCATGGCGGATGGCGGCTGCCTTTACAGGGCCTTGCACATGGGCATGCAGCTGCGTGGTGGCATCGCAGCCGAGGCTTTGCAGGACAGACCCCGTGTCTCACAGAGCGAAGTTAACTATAAGGCACCTAAAATGGCCTTTGGACAGGACGACGACGCTGGCGCGCAGAGCCTGCGTAGCCAGGTCTGCTGCTGCATGCAGAAGTACCTGGACTCCCTGACGCCCGGACGGCTGCGCCAGGTGACAGAAGCCGTATGCGTGGAGCCTCTGCGTGATTTAGAGCTTGCCTCTTCGGATGCCATGTCGGACAACGGTTTGGGGTTTAGCGTTTCGGGATAATTATGTGGATTTTGGCGGTCCGGCGAAATGACAAATCACCCAAGGAGATGATGGACGATCCACTGTGGACCCAAGAACACCAAGGAGGGTTCAACTGGGGCACATACTTTGCGTACGCCATGAAGCCACGCACGTACGGCACCTTCTGCAATCTGGCGGCGTTTGTGCGGATGTCTGGCATCCCTATCGAAGTCTACTCTTGGCGCGACGGCTTGGAGCTTGTGTGGACTGAGAACAACGACGGGGCTGCTGGAGGCCGTCCAATTGCACTGCTGCGTGGGAATGTGCACTTTGATCTACTCGCTCTGAAAGAGCCGGGAACATCGCTTCCCATCAAGCCTAGTCCAAAAGCCAAGGCCAAAGCAAAGCAAAAGCCAAGGCAAAGGTCAAAACAAAGGCCAAAGCCAAGGCTGCAGGCATCCGTAAGGCGAGCTTGAAGCGATCCTAGCCAAAAGGCCTATCTGTTGGGGCTTTGTGCGTTGGGTTTTCTCATAGTTTAAATTCGAAGGATATAGGAATCTGGAAACTTGATAATTAGGGTTCAGAGGCGATTTGAGGCATAAGACGAGTCCAGGAATCTCAGGCGAAGCCTAGAACATCCTAGAACCTCCGACCCCCGACAATTTACCCAACAGTACAGAACCAATCGTGAGGCCCCAAGAAGAACCGGTGCAGTGAAGGGTTTTGGGTCTGGTGAGGGTCTAACAATTTGGGGTCAAGTAGTATAGCCCCGATAAGGGTTTACTTTACGGTTTACACGTCTGCTGATGTCTAGTATTCAAGTCAGGGTTAGGGGTTGAGGGCTTCGTACTTTCATACCGTTTCCTGCCTCGTGTCCTGCCCCATGTACTTCTGAAGGCTTGAGGATTTATAAATAGAAGAAATAGAAACACGGTACAGGCGTCTGGCTGCTTATGTGGGAAACATGTGGGGTGCGGCGGCAAGTCTGGCTTGCGCGGGAAATGGAAACAAGATTAAAACGCGGTACGAAGGGAGGGTTTAACTCGCATCGCGTTGCGGAAATACACATCTTTCGGCGACCACTTTGCGGCTAAGCATTTCGGAGCCCGGCTTGGCATACATCCAAACATCAGCCGTGATGGCCCTACCAGAACCCTGGTAAACCCTTTCAAAGGCCCTCGGCTCTTTTGGAGGCCTAAACTGCAGAGGCTTCTTCTTTTGGCAGCTACTGCCTGAGGTTTTGCCTCCAAAAAGCCGTTCCGCTAAATTTTCGGGGGAGGGAAACGGGCGACGCATCTGCTAGAATCTTCTAGATTCTTGAATTAGTATTTGGACTACCAGCGGGGGGTCCTAGATGCGCGTTGTATCTCCTAGAGTCCTTTAGAATTTTCCCCGAGTGGAGTTCAGGGTATTGGGGGATGGGGGTTCTACGGCGGGTGTGGTGGGTCTTGCGTATATTGTCTATTGTATATGGATTGTATGCGCTATGGACGTTGCGTGTGCACGGGCGTGTGTGCCTCTCTTGTATGGAGTGTCTGCGTTGCGCGTAGTCTGGGTCGTGGGTGTGGTGTGTTTCGTGGTTATTGGTTTTATTATGTGTGTGGTATATATTACGAATCGATTATTGATATATGGGAGTATTCAAAGTTCGATAAAAGATCTATAGAATCTTATTATTAGTATTGGGAAGGGGCCTAAATTAGGAATCAATATTTCGTAGGATTATCTATAATATTTCTAGTA